TAATTTATTCAATGTTATCCCTGAATTTCTGGTACGTGTTCAAACTAGTTCCTAGATTATATGGAAACGTTCAATGTTGTCCATGAACTTAAATTAATAGATGGATAGTATTAGATATTTTCATATTGTCAAGGCACTAGTTTAAATATTTACCAAATGTTTAAGGACGGCATTGCATATTTGGCTAAAATTCATAGAATACATTTAACAAATTATAAATTTATGGACCACGTTACATATTTGGTCAAAATTGAGGGACCATTTGTGCCATTATCCCTATTAATTATGTCCGATTTTGTCGTGGTTCGAATAGGATTTTTGTGGATCACATCAACCACTATCATTATTATTCAACTACTTGAGATTTCAGTTCATTTTCTTGACATGATATTTGGGCCACGGGTCAATCTAGTGTACGCTAGCAAAGCGATAGATAACACGAATTCGACGATTCAGAAACACGCACTTGGGTGTACATGCCCACAAGGGCAACTAGAGAGAAATCTCTTTTTTTCTGTATTCTATAAAATATGACGGAAGCTGCGTTGTGAAATACCCTGCTAACCCTAGGCGACACTGGAAAACCCGAAGATAAATTTAAGCAGTAAGAATTCGGAAAAATAAATAGAGCTTGTAATAACGCAAAAAATTGACTTAAAAATAGAAAATTGTCTTGAAACATATACATAAAACGATGAGTTTTGTGCTCCGAAGCAACTGCAAACAGGGAACCAACCCACTTTGGTCACCATACAATGCTCGAAATGAGCTCTCCGAATTAGTATCATGAATCCGGTAACTCTTGTTTGACCAAAAGTTATGGCCGTTTTCTCGTGCATTGCCTGAATCATTGTCCAGGACTCGAGCTTTCTTTGGTTAGCATATGCATGACCTCCATTCAACCATGAGAATCGTATGGAAACGACTCGAACTGGAAATCAACACTACGAAAATCAACATGAGAAAACAGCCCGTCACAGGCTTCGTCAACCTTTCCATAAAATGACCTGCAGTGCACGAGCATGAAGCACGAGGATTCTGAACTATCTACAGGGACAACTCCTATCAACACCTGATCCCAACCACTTCACCAAATTTCCCTGAGAGGCATCTTAGGGAATCTTACGAATGAAATCGATGACGGTAAGCACGGTTAGGAGGTAATTATCATGTTGACCAGTTCCCAGCTTCCGTCCATCGCTCAACTTCATAAACTTTAGTTTATCTCATTAGATTATGCCTTTGCTTCCGGATGAGAAAGTTGCTTCTGGATGAGAAAGAGAGAGAGAGATGCTTAATGTCGTTTAAAAAACTTGAATCAGTGAGGTCGGGTTATCACCTGCATTTCCATGTGTCTCCTTCTGTGTATGACTAGAGCATTATGCGAAGAATACTATTATCAAGGACAATCTTTGAAGTGGTGCTCTTTCTTGACTGGTCAGCCCCAGTGAGTTATCAACGGGCATCCCATCTTTTTCACCATTCATTGGTGTGATGTAATGTGCTTTCTCCCTCTATTGTTTATCATTGGCTGCAGGCCAAGGTGGTGTGTGATAGAAAAACAGGTGGGGAGTCGATATAATAATGTCGTTAGTGAGAGTTTGATAAGGCTCGAATTGATTATAAGAAGTCTTGATTTGTCTTGAGATCTCAAGGTTGAAGATTCTAAGTGTGGGATGTCGCTAATTGTATATACGATTAATACCACGAAAAACTCCAAATTGGTACATTTGTGATAAATTTACTTAAAATTAATTTTTTGATCACAAAAAACCCCAAACTACTTTACTTTCCGTTAAATTTTACCGTTAAGTTAGAGTTGGATGACACGTGACAATTGATGGGTGTACTAATTTGGGGTTTACCGGTTTGTGATTTTTCATGGTATTAATCTAATTTAACGGAAACTAATAGATGATAAATTTGTCACAAATGTATTGATTTGGGGTTGGAGTAAATTTGTCACATGTGTATCAGTCTTGGGTTTTTGGTGGCATAAACCCTTGTATATAATCCATAGAAGATTAATGCATGCGCTTAGCATCATGTGACTTGCTAACACGAGAATTGCTTACCATGAAAATGCATAAGGCGTTGGCATTTGTTACCTGAAGAACATTTCATACTATCACCTTTAGTAAATGTCAGTTCTAGGAAAAAAAAAAAAAGCAAATAGAAAATGTTAGGACCACTTGGGTTTTTAGCTCGTGTCTTAATTGATTTACCTTCTCGAGATGGAATTTATTTTGAAATCCTACTCAAGCAAGCTCATGATCTTTTTTAGCTTATGTTACTTCAGAGGATGATTAACAACCGAATGATGATTCGACTCGACTTCTTCAATTGATATATCATATGGTATTATCTCTTTCGATTTGAATATATGGTTTTCAAGATTAGAATCCCATTATCCAATATTTTGAAATCTTGGGGGGCTTGCTTCACAAGCAATTGACCCTAATAATATAAACATCTCATCTTCAGATCAGATGTGGTCACCCCTTCTATTGAATGACTTGAAAGAGTTCTAAAATCGCAGGTTTAGCCAATAGCTCATGCTAAGTAAACTTACCCTAATCCAGCAAAATCAGATTGATAATACTCACCATGTTTTTGACGTGCGGTTGAGCTAATCAATCGAATGGTGAGTGGGTCACAAAAGGTCATCATCAACCACAAACTGGCGGTTGCTCATTGTTTGTCATCAATTCGTGATGCCCTTACATAGAAAAAAAAATAAAGAAGAAAGAAGAAGAATTATAGTGCGGAAGTATATGGCAGTGTCTTGACTAAAAAAAAGCATATGGTGCGTAGTCAAAAGATAAGAATAACTTGATTGTGGATTATACTCATTAATCTGTCGACACGACTCTAAATGCATACAAGTAAGGCTTATCATGCAATATCCATGTCATGCGACGCATTGACATGGTATCATCGCATAACCACGCTTTCTAAATTTATGGTGGTTGGCAAAGTGGAGAACTTGCGTTGCAAATGACGCGGATTAACATAATGATCGTTGCATTTGGACTCTCCACCTAAAACACATCTAACGATAGAAATGGAGAAGGCTTTCACCTACTGACCTTACTTTTCTCGGACTGCTCAGAAACCAAAGCGAGTTTTGCACGTCAATGTCGACAAATTCGTTCAACATAGAAAAAATAAAGGGGGGAAGTTATGCTTTAAATCTGATTGTAATATATATAGTATATGGTAGCTCTGCCAAACCATGGCTAATTTGATGCGTGACCGATGAGTATGAGAAAAAAAAGAGAGAACTTTGGCAATGACGTCCAAGCAATAGTGTTCCTCGTCGATGTCAATAATGTGTTCGCATTGCTTTCGCATCTCTTTCATGGATGATGATCGAACTCATCATGTGATTGGGATGGTAATCGCATGTGCTCAAGCAACCTCTCGCCACTGATTCATTACGATTCGAGTCTCGAAAATCGCGACCCGAAATTCGATTCCTCAGCCAGAAACGAAACGCGGAAATTCACGATCAGGGGAGGACAGATAAAAAGGTTTGAAAAGATTCGAGCCCAAGGTCTCCCACTCTGACACTCGCATAAAAATTTCGCGGACCGCCTTGAACCGCTATAAGCTCAAAATTAGAGTCCGCTAACTATTCAAAGCACCACATATCGTGCAAGCACAAATGAGTTACCAATAGCGAGTTTAGGAAAAATCTCCTGACAATGAGGTTAATTAATGAATTTTTAATTAAGTGTTTTCACATAGCAATGGAGTGGGAAACCTCCTTGCTAAGCAAGAACCCTAAACCACCCACCATCATTGCTTCCGCTAAATTATTCCTCCTTATCCGCCCTTATTATAATAATTTTTTCTGCTCCCCCCCCACCCCCCACATAAACATAAAAATATGAGTTAGTGCCACCAAAAATTTTAAACTGATACACTTATAATAAATTTACTTTAAACTATTTTTTTGATCACAAAAAATTCTAAATTGGTATATTTATAACAATTTCATCCCGAACTAATTTTTTGACAATAAAAAATATCAAATTGGTACACCTGTGATAATTTTACCCCGAATTAATTTTTTTCCCACAAAAAATCCTAAATTGGTACACCTATAACAAATTTACCCTCCGTTAATTTCTGTTAAATTTTACTGTCTAATTATTAAGTTTGATGACACGTGGTAGTTGACGAATATATCAGTTTGGGGTTTTACCCCTCTATTTGTCACAAGTTTATCAATTTGTGATTTTTCGTGATATTAATCCAATTTAACGGATACTAACGAAGGGTAAATTTATCACAAATGTACCAATTTTGGGTTTTTTGTGGTCAAAAAATTAGTTTGGGATAAAATTGTCACATGTGTATCAATTTGGGGTTTTTTGTGGTCAAAAAATTAGTTCGAGGTAAAATTATCACATGAGCATCAATTTGGGATTTTTTGTGGATAAAAAATTAGTCCGGGATAAATTTGTCACAAGTGTACCAGTTTAGGGTTTTTTATGATCAAAAAATTAATCAAAGCTAAAATTATCATGGATATACTAATTTGGAATTTTTCGTGGTATTCGCTCTAAAAATATCCTAGTGAAGAAGCCAATCATTAACAACTTTGAAATTTGAAATAGAAAATAAAATAAAAAACCAAAAATCCGTAATCCAAATAATTAACGAATCCCGAAATCAATCGAAATGATACGAAAAATGGCGAGGTCCCACGACCGGCCCGACAGCGCGCGACCGCCCGCATGCCACGTGTCCCGGGGGAAGCGGGGGCCGGGGGGGCCCACCGTCACGTGTCCGTCCAGCGATCAAGCCGTATCGATAACGCCCCCACGCAAGCAGCCAGCGCACATCGTACGATGCGGTGCACCCGCGCGCACCGTGTAATTTCCCCCCACCCCCGCCCCCCGGGCCCGCGTGTCTCTCTGTGGGTGTGCGCGTGTATATATTAAGCCTTCGTCCTTCCTCTTCTCCATCGTCATCCGTTACCACGCACATCTCTCTCTCTCTCTCTCTCTCTCTCTCTCTAAAAGCTCGCGGAGCTCTCTCGCCATCGCGAACAGGCCTCGGCATTTGAGTTGAATCTCTCTCTCTCTCTCGCTCTCGAAAGTTCGATTCGTGCGGCGGACGGAGAAGGGCGGTAGAGCACACGCCGCGGTCGGCACGCCGGGAGCTCGCTCTTTCCGTGTGGTCCTATCTCGGTACGAGACTTGCTACCTGCTCTCTTCTTTTTTCGCCCCCCCCCTCTTGAGAAGGAAACGGTGGGAGTCGGGAGTGATTCTGGGTTTCGATTTGTGATCGTGTCCTTTGTTAAGATGCCTGTTAGCTAGCTGCGCGCGTGCGCGTGGGAAGAACTGGGAAGGGGAGGTGGCAATGAGCGGAACCTTCTAGATGGTTCTGGAGCCTCGAGGGGTTCGCGGTCGATTTTTTTTTGGTGTTAGGGGGTTCGAGAGATTAGGGCGGAGTAAGCGATGTGGAATCTCCGTGCGCGGTTTGGTTTTGGCGCTCTGCTTCGCCCCCCCTTCTTTTCCGTCGAGAGTAAATGCGGAGGAAGATGGTCCGGCGGTCGTCCGCCTTCCGTCTTCCTCCGCGACTGGCCCTGAAACGATGACAAAACCGGATCTTGTGAGTTGGGTTTTGTTAGCTTCTTGCGTTTCGGGCCAAAGCATTGATTTTTTCTTTTATAATCTCGAATTTCAATTGCCTAGCATCTTCAGAACACCTCGTTGGTAACTGATAGTTATATGTGCCCCTCCTCTCAGTTTACCGTATTTTTGGGATTACATCTGGGAGCGGGTGACCCAGTTTGTCGTACCTCAGATCTCTGGGGGGATATTGCTCACGGATGTCCCCCTGATATGAAACCTGCCTCTGTTCCAACTGTGTGCGAGAATCTCTTCCGGTGCTTTCCATCAAAATTGATGCTTGATGGATGGATTCCATCCATCACGATGTATGATTGCGAGAGGATACTGCCAACCGCCCTAATAATATGTTTTTTTGCCTCTTAAGTCGAGAAGAAATAAGAATTTCAGAGGAGACATCAAGTTAGATTTATAAACTTTTATGCCAGAAAGTTTGTCCGCATAAATTTCACCTTAATTCCCTGCGAAAGACAGACAAACAGAGATGATGAAGAAAGGAATAAAGATCACTTTGTTGCGCGTGGCTTCAGTTGTTAATTAGATTTTTAGTGTTTCTGACCTTATCCTTTTGATATGATCCAGGAAGGCAAGGAATCTTGGTCATAGCACAAGCAAGATGGCCCTAGAGCGCTCTTTTGTAGATTCTATGGCATCGCAAAACCCTTGTGGAGTACACAAGTCGTCTTTAGAGAACTGGAAGTCCCTCGTGGCGGCTGCTGCTGACTCGGAGGATAACCTTTCCGGTGGCTTCGAGTGCAATATCTGCCTCGACATGGTGCAGGATCCGGTGGTAACCCTATGTGGTCATCTCTACTGTTGGCCTTGCATCTACAAGTGGCTTCAAGTTCAGAGTACTGACATGGAAAACGAAGAACCGCAACCACAGCAGTGTCCGGTTTGTAAAGCAGAGGTTTCACAGGCCACTCTGGTCCCGCTCTATGGCCGCGGTGGATCTACCAAATCGGCCAAAAGCAAGGCCCGGCAACTCGGCTTAGTCATACCGAAAAGACCGTTTGGTCCTGCTTGTGGCGTTGATAGCCCGAGATCTCTCGGCTCCATTTCCAGTCCGCGTTCAGTTCAGCGAGTTCACAATCAAGTTTACACACCACAATCGCCGTTGTACCAGTCCCAACTTGGTACCTACCCAGCCGCGCCAATGACTAACCTAGGTGGCGCATCGACGAATTTGGTGGACCCGATGATTGGGATGCTTGGTGAGATGGTATACGCGAGGGTGTTTGGGAACTCGATGACGAACTTGTACTCGTACCCAAACTCGTATCATCTCGCCGGGAGCAGCAGCCCCAGGGTGAGGAGGCACGTGATGCAGGCTGATAAGTCTTTGAGCAGAATATGTTTCTTCCTCTTTTGTTGTATGGTTTTGTGTCTACTTTTGTTTTGAGTGGAGACCATTTTGGACTCTCCTTTGGATCACATGTAAAAATTATGAGGATTACAAAGGAGAAGTCCGGCGCAGCGGTGCGGATTAGAATTTAGAGTCGTATCTCTCCTGCTGCCATATAATTTATACGGAATTTTACAGTTCGGAGTGGATGTTCATCGTTATCAGCTGAAGTATTGTATCTGATTGATTTGCAATCTTCAGAGCCTAGATTCTGTGTCCGTGTTCATGCTGTTTTTCTCTCTTGAAGGGACCGACCGAAAGAAAAACGCTCATGGCTTGTTCAACGCTTAACAGTGCTGCCAATTCTAGACAATAAATCAACTGTTCTGTAAATAAATAAATAGAAAACAAACAGGTGCTCATCCATTAATAAAAGATGATTCGTGTTACGTGGAAGATGATCTCGGTTATCATTAGTGTTGATCTACTCTCTTTGGCACAATTCAACCGAGAAGATGATAATGAGTGTTTCGTGGAAGAATTTTCAGGAAGTGGCCCAGACGGGAGGATCCTATTTTGCTACTCGAATTGTCGCATGTTCAAGTTCAAAAATCTGACCAAACAAAAAGGGTTCAAAAAGGAAAGAATCCCAAGATTTTCGTATTCCAAGGGGGGGTAATGGTGGGTGGGGTTTCCAAATTCATTTTACCTTGGGATAGAACCTGTACTGATCAAGCCAATCACCATCACGAGGCAAAATGTCATTTTCATCACCCATCAACCTTCTAGATAAACAATTCCCTTAAAGGGGGTGTTTTTTTCAATGTGTTCAATGCACATGGTTGGCCGCGGGTGGTGGAGGGGCCACCACCGTGCTGGCCGCCGGTGGTGGAGGGGCCACCGGTGGCGGTGGCCAAGGAGCCCCCACTATGGAATCTTCCTCCACAGAGAGAGAGAGAGAGGTGCCATCTGATTTGGTTTTGTTCACACAAATCAACCGTTGTTGACTCCTACGACTGGAAAGAAGACATGGGAATGGGCCACAGTAGTGACATTGCGCTCTTGGCAGTGCAAAGGAAACTTCTCTTATAATGGCAAATTTTTTTTTTTAGAAGAAAGTTGGAACTTTGCCTCCTGCGATAGTTGTTGCTTGATGATGGCTATGCTTCTGCTTTTTTGAACGACCTCATGTGTCCTCTTTTCTGTGTTACCAATCCAACAACGCAGAACTTCCCAAAGACCTATCACGCCATGAGTCCGTGAAAATGGAAAGAGGCAACATAAAGGAGTGGTTACATCATTATCGACCAATTAATGGCGATGCCTCGTCTTTCTAGAAGTGTTTGGGCCGGCCAATGAGCACCACTTCTTTTGATGTTGTTGCGTGACTTTGGTCATAAATCTCGGATCTTGGCTGATCGATGGTCGCACCACAAACATGATTTTTATTGGGGTCTCACACTTTGGATTGGGTGTGACTGATCGAGGAAATCGGACACTTACCTTAGTCCTGCGACCGGTGGCCGAGGCCTACCTCTAGAGTCGTCGAGGAAGTCGTATATATTTTGTTTCATCTTCTGGTAATCGCCGTCCCCGTTTCATATACATCGCCGAGTTTCCACCATCTATCCTAATTGTCATCAACATAGGTCGCGCACAACCAAAGGAGCACACCGAGTATAGGCCTTCAAATAAAGGACATAGAAAGAGCACAATCGTACCCTTTTTTCGTTTCTTATGTGGAGATGTTGCGGTACTATACCAGAGAGTTTTATTAGATCAAAGCTCCCAAAAACACCTAACAATGAACCGAACAAAAACTTTACGAATTTACAAAGCCTTCCGAAAGTTTCTTGCAAAGATAATCTCGGCATCGAAACGAGTTTTACATCTAAACAAATAAAAAAGACACGATAAATCGTTAGACAACTGAACGCGGAAACTGGAAACTACCCGAGAGGTCGTGCTTTTCGAGCGAGACCCCGTGTGAACCCCTATTTTTCTTAATATGTGATTGATGTAATCTATGGGGCTGAGCCCACATGATAACCTTCTCGGACGGGGAAGAAGACATCTTATCCGGTGGTCCAACCAGAATGGGCCCGTCACATGGGTTCACTTACTCCTCGGGGCAACAAGACATTCATACCAGTTCTTGCCTCCATCAGGATCCAACTCATCCCCTAGCCTCCTGGCAATGGACCACAATATCAGATCACGCCCATGTCTGACTATGATATATTATCCTTGTCCATGATAAGCATCGACCCATTCTACCAGAAAAAAAAAAAAAAAAAAAACTAGGACATGCCAAGTCGAGTCACGGCGCGGCGACATAAGTTGCAGCATTATTGCGATAAAAGTTAGAAGCATGAAAGCCAATACCGAAGAATTATCGAACTTTTGCACAAGTTTGCTCAACTGAACGATGAAGTTCTATAGATTGTTGGTATTATCCAGAGAGTCAGAACAAATGGGAACACGCGACGAAGTGTGGCTACTTGTCTCTTCTCTGAATCAGTAATAACTAACACTACGCGAATATGAACCTGTCGGGCTTGCAGAAAGACAAAAAAAATAAAGGCGAAAGCTATACAGGCTTTTCTTGTTGAGCGACATTGGAGCAATACGCCATCATCAGATCAGGCTTCAATTAATGCCTGGGCTTGGCCCAGATGGAGGCACCGCCGAGCCCTTCGGAAGCATTGCGGTGAGTCCTCTCAAGCCCATCGGAATCTCCGGCGAGCTCCAGCTGCCCGAGATCGGAACCGGGACTTGAGAAAGGGGGCGCGCTGCGGTTAAGCATTCAAAAGATAGTAGCAGCATCATTAGAACCATTAGAAAGCATACCACCTTCTTGACTTTGGGCGAGTAATCCATATTTCTCTACCTGCTGTGTAAGATTCGCATGTCTGTAGGCAATTTATAGAGAGGGACCCATGAAGAAGTCAATGTAGTGGCCGGCTTTGCGAAGTGAGATATTGGTATTAATATAATCGCAAGTCAACCGCATCTAAATTCGAAGTTGTTGCCGGCGAATCCATCGGATGGAGTGGATGGACATAAGATATTTGCCGAAGTATGTGTAAATATAATCCACTTGATGAGTAGTTGAAATGGCCGGAACCGATGTCGATCGGTTCCGGCCATAGCAGAGAAGTTGCTTACTGAAAATTAACAATAGCTTGGTACTTAAACATTAATCTACTCAAGCAAGCAACAGTTGGAGATCTCTAGCCGTGTTTGCAAACTAGTTTAATTGTTGTGGGATGGAGAGACTGCAGGCGGAGATCCAATTCTTCTTTCCCTCTAGTTCGTCGCTAAGGAAACGATTCTCTATGGTGGCGGTGACTTTTTTCATCTTTACTAAGGAAGGGAGAGATCTTCAAATCAACTTGCTTTCTCTTTTGGCCAAGGAAAACATTCCTTAAATTGAGTTTATGTTCAGCAATCCTCTGCCCTCCGGCTACTGACAAACACCGCAAAGACAACTCCCATTGGCTTCATTCATCCAAAATCGGTATACAATGTTAGTCAAGGCTTGCTGATGTTCCTGAGATGTGGGGAAGTAAATGTTGCTAGATGCTTGTTCCAAGGACACCGTGATCTTCACCGTGCATCTGCAGCACTTGTGATGCAGTTCAGCTACGACAATCATCATTTCAGGAAAAAATTGGTCCTTGTCATATGGAAAGCAGATTCTACACTAAAAATTATCCGAGAGGGCATTTTCTGATAGCACAAAGAACTGGAGCAGAGAACAAGAAATTCAGTTTCCAAATCAAAGTGCAATCACTAATCGTCATTAAAAACTAGGAAATGTCAACAGCATTCAGTTACAGTATTCATTCATACAGCAAGTATATACATTGATCAACAGGAAGCTAGTGGCTCCACTATATCACATCTACCTGAAGGCTGCAATTTTTTTTTGTCCTAAAGTGAAAAACAAACCTAGCTTTGCTATAAAGCAGACAGTAATAGGGGAAGCTGTTAAGTCGATTTCAAAGCTCTCGGGAACGTTCTGGACTGCCACAATCAACGACTCCATAGAAATGCAGCACCTTCAGGGGCATCACCTTTTCCTGGAATGAGCAACATATGCCATATCAGTATAGCTTCCATACGATAGAAAGAAAATGAACTTCTATAAGCCAGGTATCTGATATACTTCAACCTGCCCTTCTGAATCCTGCGGAAAATGAAACCCCACTGAGCAATTCTGCAACCGTTCAGGGCTTTTCATCCATGCTCTCCGTGCATCGCTCCCTTTAATTTTAAACCTAAACATCTGAAAATTAAAGCTACATGAGTCATTTCAACAAATTAATCCTACCAACTCGGTCGGAAGAGTTCACATGTGAACCACGTTGTTGGTTGGGAAAGGGTAGGAGGGGGTGTGGAGTGGAGTGCTTGTGAGGAACTTAAAGTATAGAAAAGAGCGAAATACAGTAGAATTTGAAACCTCAGACAAAGGGACAGATGGATTTTCCAGATTGTCTCCTTCAACCATGATACCAGTGCCTTGGCACTCTGGACAGAACACAGAATGGATTTGCGCAGGTGCAGCTTTCTTGTCACCATCTTCTCTTGATTTAGTGCACTTAGGTCCGTTCTTTCTTCTTGATCTCCTCTTCGCTTTTGGATTTTCCAACTGACCTGTAGCTATTTCAAATTCGCAGAGAAGTACCCAGTGTATAAGGCAGGAAGTATGAAAAACATGATATGCCTGCACATACAAATATTAGCATTCATCAATAACTTAAACGATCGAATTGGTTGAGCACATCAAATATATGTTTGAAGAAAACAAAAAAGAGAACTAACCCCATTCAAGTTTCGACCACTGCAAGCCAGCTTTCCGGTCTTCATATTGATGAGTGTGGCCACGTCTTTCCCTGGTAGCATCTTCTGTTGACAGATTTCGCACATTCTTTCTGCAGCTATACGTTGATGCCGTCTCAGTTCTCGTCTTACAGCTTTGCTTGATGTAATTCTAGCACGCAGAAGCTGATCATCGTATCTATCCAACAGCAATCTCGGAGAAGAGCCATTCGAAGCCGCCGAACCTTCTCCAGACGAATCATACTGATTACTCAAAGAGTCACTTATATCCTCCGGGTCAGAAAAAGATGGCTTCCTTTTCCTATCGTTGTTCCCACCATCCTCCAATGCCAACAAAGGACTAGAAGAGAGCAAGGTCTTTACGTCACCGAACAACCCTTTCCTACCTAAATCATAATTGTAACCTAAAGTCACAATGGCGAAGTCATGCTTTGGAATCTGTAGTGGATCATCGTCAACAGGAATCTCTTTGCCTAGCCATTCACACCATATTCTACTTATACCATTCAGCACCTCATCTTTCTCAAGAAATCGCGCAGCAATCCGTCCCACACCCACAAGTTTTGCATGCAAATCACAGATCCCATCTTTGACCAACACGTCAGGAATCAAAAGGTCGCCATCTCCTCCATCACCATCCAAACTCTCTAGACAAGTACCAACTTCACCACCCAGGTGAGCATTATGAAGCCCATCGTGTCCATTAGTTGCGAGCTTGGAGTTTTCATCATACGGAACAATGGCAAGATTTTCATTCTTGTTCAACTCCAGCAGACTGTTCCGACCGCCGTATGCAATGTCCATCGGCTTATCCTCCTCGGCCGAACGAGCAAAGAACAGAACGCCGTCATTGAAAGGCCACGGGTTGGGTCCTAAGAGGGTAACCTTCGCGGTAGCTAATCTCTCGTTGTGGAGATTCCCCCTGAGGTGATCGAACAACACCGAATCGCCATAACACGGCGACAGGCACAGAGTACAGAAGAAAATGAACTTCCTATTATCCTCGCGAAGCTCGACGTAGGAGTGCCCCTGTAACCTAACGTTGCGAAGAACCGTCCTAGCGGCCTGTTCTCTTAAACTGTGGGCATCAGTTCGAGGAAACGCCAAAGCCCTCCTTCCTTCCATCCACGACCGCGCAGTCAAAAACTGCAAGAACGAAAGCTAAACTTTGCCCGAAAGTAACCGCCTTCTCTATACAATCCAGAGTCAGTTCCAATGCCTCCCTGATGTCAAGAGAGCAGAATCTACACGAGCCATCCTAAATCCATCCAAAAACCCCCCCGGAAATCCGCAATTTCTACTTCTAGACAGGCCTGATTCGAAGGATCTCGAGTAGCTCGAGAAACCCTAGGGAGCTCCGAATTCTCACCAGCAATCGACGCGCGCATACCAACCTCCACAAGAAAGAAACCGCCAAACAAACACACGCTAGCTCTCAAAACTAAGCAACTCACCAGCCCGAATCCGGCGACCCCCCGGCCGGCCGATCCCTCGATAACCGAGGCCCAAAGAAGAACCGCGGCCAAAAACACACACGGGGGAAGCGGGAAGCGGAAATCGCTAACTGCTGCGGGAGTGGTACCGCCGCCTAGAAACACCCGAGCGGACATATTCGTAAGCTTCCCGGTATCCAGCAACTCTTGGACGTCCGCGGACGCTGGAACTGGGCGCGCGTGCCGAAGGCCATGGTCGAGCGCGAGTCGCGAGCGGCGAGCGAGTCTTCCATGGCCATCTCCATCCGGCGCGGCGAGAGGCGGAAGGAAGGCGGGGGAGAGGAGAATCGGGGAGAGGGAGAGGGGAAGTGAGAGGGGAAAGTGGAGAGCAAATTTTTTCTTTTCGGATTTGAGGGGGGGGTGAGAGGGAAAGCGGAGGAAGGGAGGAAGGAAACGACTCCTAACCGAATTTTGATAGAGAGAAGGGATGGATTTTTACTCCTGTGCCGTCTGATCGAGCGGCGAGGACCGGGTGATCGCGGTGGGCGGTGATCGATCGCGGGGCTCGGCTGGGGCGCGGCGGTACCGGAACGAGGAACAGATTCGGGATTTCGAGCGGATTCGAAATTCGATGCCCTTCTTTGATTGTGTGTAATCGGGCGCTGGGCTTGCGGTGGTATATGGATAAGTTCTGGGCGTGGGGGTGGAGCGTGGGGGGAGGTATCCGGTGCGGTCGTACGGTTTTTTGGGGCTCGTGCCGTTCGATAGCAACGGACCGTCGGTTGCGCTTACGTCAACCCGGGCCATGTGCGGGAACCCTCCGTCGATGGACCGAATCCCAACCGTCGGATTTTGATACGACCCGGAATTCACATGGAGCCAACTACATTTAATGATTCGAGTTTATATTATACATAGCGGCACCTATTGAATCCTTATTTAACCCAACCAACCAACGGTTCTATAATTCATCGAGAAAAGAGTTTTGGAAGAGTAACCTTTTTTTTTTTCATGGCTTTATTTACATCTCTTTTTTTTTGTCGGACAAGTCACTATCACTGTCGATTTGATTTCTAATTTTCCGTCTTCTCGAGAATTTTGAGAAAATATATTTTTGGCTTCCCAATTTCCTTTTGTGTTTCTCCCGTATATTCTTTTTTCGATTTTTTTCAATTTATTTGGAATGGGTGAAGATATCGTGACTAAAGCAGATAACATAATTACCTAAAAAAAAAAAACCAAAATTAATAGATCGTGACTTTTCTTCGATTTTTTTCCATTAGCTCCGTCCATATCTTCGGTTGACTTGTGCAAGGCTCATTGACAAGTAACAGGTGTGCTCATGTGACACTCAAGAGATTTATTATTTACAATTAGACATATCATCCTAGCCAAACGACAAAACGTTTTTTTCCCTAAATTTTCAGCATAATACAGAACGCTGTCCTAGGATTATATTCTTTTTTGGCAAAAACCGAATTTTTCGAGATGAATCTTGGATCAATCTCTTTTCCACTCATGCGCCTAGGAGTTTTAGGTAGGAAGTAAAGAGACGGTTTGAGGAAGCAGAAGGCCTACTCCAGTCACAACCTCGAAACTCAAGAAAGACCCTTGAATTTCAATCAACGAGCAGCAATCTATCGGCGGGGGGTCAACGAACTGCTTTCGCCATCCTTCGTTCATACAAGAAGATGAAAATCCCACGTACATCGAACCAACAGAGAGAAACAGGGGGGGCGAATAGATAGAGCAGAGCAACAGAGCCAACAAGAATCGATTTTGTGTCAAACTTCAACAGCAATACATTAGAGAAAGCGATCAGAAAACCACTTCCAGCAAAAGCACGAGCAGTCTAGAGCAGAGATCTAATCTGATGAACCAAAGAGGTCTCCTACCACTACTACCAAACCCACACCCCCCAAAGAAAAACAAGAACACAAAAGAGAGAAAGAGAGAGAGAGAGAGAGAGAGAGAGAGAGAGAGAGAGAGGCCTATGAAACAGAAGGAACCAAACAGTCAAACAGAAAGGCTAGATCTTTACATCGCAAAAATCGAAACCCACGACAGGAACCAAAAGAGAAGAGGAGGAAGAACATGTATAGAGCGAGAAGAGACGAGGCCGCGGCTGCATGTGGGGGTGGGGGGGGGGGGAGGGCGAGAGGGCCATCAGCGCCGGATGTTCTTGACCTTGTACCAGCCTTTCTTGCAGGAATCCCCCACGATCTTGAACCCCTTCTTGAACAGGACCTTGAGCTCCTTCGCCCTCTCCTTCACCTGCTGCTCGAAGCCCGCCATCGCCCGTGCGTTCCTTCCCGCGGAGAGCACGAAGAAGATTCTAGAGACGACAGAGACAGCCACAGAGCAGCACCACCGAGTCGGATTCCAACACGAATCTGTAGGGTTGCTCTGGCTTTATAGGGAGGCCCCTTCCCTTTTCCTCCGAACTAATCGCGCACCCGGCCGGGCGGATGCGAGCTCTACGTGTGTCGCGCCACGCTGGATCCCTTACCCCCCTCCCTCCCGAGCGACCTCCTCTTTCCCTATTTTCGCCGTGCAATTCCGAGGTTTCCCCATCGTGCGGTCCAGCTCAGGCGGACACGTGGAGGGCATCGAGTGGGAACACGATGATTGCCGGGGGGGGTTAAAAGATGAGTTCGTGGGTCCCACGTGGACCCCCGATGGCGCTTTCCTTTGTGGGGGAAAACCCCCATGCCGAAGATGTTCCTTCCTCGCTGTCCCGTGGGTGCCCACCACCGTCTTAGCCTTTGGTACGAAAGGGATCTCCAGTTCACCCAATTGCTTTTTTTTCCCCCCCCCAAAAAGAAAGACATTTTGTATTTATTCTGATTATTTTAGCACCGGATAACGTGAACGGGTGGGGGCCCGACGTTTATTTTACGTGCGCCATTTCGGTTTTCAAAATATCGATCGATTACGACAGGAGAAATGCAAAATTTCTCTTACAAATTGGATGAAGAAACTCATCAACAAAATCCCTTTTGATTTCACCCACTGCTGATAGAGAGTTCTCTTTCGGAAACGGGCTTGTGAATCATCGATTGTGCACTTGGGGTCATCTAACTTAGAATCAGCACGTGCATTAAAGCCAGGGTTATGTCCGAACGGCGCTAGTTGATGAGAGTTTCTTTGAAAACAAAGAAGAAGGAAAGTTAAATTCGTTTGGACTATTTTCTCAATTCTAATAAAATGATGAGTTGCCGACTAGAACATATATGGATAGAACTTATAGCAGCATCTCGAAAAATAGGTAATTTCTACCGAGCCTTTATTCTTCTTTTAGGTTCATTTTGTTCTATGGGTACTCGTGAGAGTAATTCGTCGCACCGGTGCATATAGTGAAGATGCATAGCAAGAGAAAAGTGCTGAGCTTCTCAAAGATAATTGTCCCTTGCGCCTAGGCATTCTTTGCCTATTCATCTGTGTTAGACTCGCTCCTTCTTCGGAAGAGATGTCTATCTCACTACAGGTTAGAAAACTAACAAACGATTCATTTCGAGTGATTTGAATTAGCATGTGCTAATAATCCATCATGCGAGACTAATCACGATTAGCGGAGATGATCATGGATTCCCAGCTGGAATTGCTCCTAAACCAGCCAAATCATGAACCTGTAAAGTCAACAATCCGAGCTGACGAAATCGACATTCAAATTTTCAAATGCTTATGGTTAACTGTCACGGTCTTCAATCAACCAAAGCACATCATATTCCACAGGTATGTACAGGTGGGTGCCTAACATGGAGCTTGACATTTTTTGGGACAACATCCCATCTAGAATATTCCTCGACAATTCTTGCTGGGACCTTTTCAAGCATCGTTCTTTTGAAGGACAAAGCAGAAAAGAAAACTCGATAACTTCATCAGTAAGATAACCAGAGTTATGCACATAAGTTTCTAACTTAATCGAATTGCCTGTTTGATTCCACTTATATTACAGCAAGAAAGGTGCTTTCTCACCGAAAGTAAGAATTCCGTTCGAACATTCAAAAAGTTGCGAAAAGAGTCATATGTGAATTCACGTGTCAACATATGCATTTTGCGAAAGTTTTTAAGTGTTTTGGATTTTCAGATTGGCAAAGCACAAGGGCCATGAAATTTTGACCGAGCGGAACGATAAAACGTAAAAGTCAATCCAAAATCTTTTATGATGTATATGTTATTATGAGGATCAGTGCGTTGTACAAGGAATGAATGAGGAAGGATGTACTCAAGTCTCCGCTCCAACAATAAGAGCAGCCGAGAATGCACCCGATGACGAACAACTGCAAGGAATTCTCGCCTGAGAAGTGAACGGCGCTAAAGATAGCGGAGCTCAAGAGAACGGCCTGCTGCCACTTTGATGTGGACGAGATAGATGTCAGCAGAAAGCCCCGGTAAACAATTTCTTCCAACAAAGGGGTGATGATGCAGAAGACAAGAACACAAGCCGCTCTTGAAATGTCGCTGCTTAGGAGGATCTCCTTGAGTATGAGATTGTTGACTGCCTACAAGCGTACACATGAGAGAAGAAAGTTACCATCTGATGCTAATATCGTGCCTTAAAGATTTAAGACAGGAAGTTAACTGTAGTAAATGCTGGGAGGCACAGTTTTACAACCCACGGACATGCAAAGAAGAGAGAGTCCAGTTGGGTGGAAGAAAATCTGCTGAACTATATGACACAACGAGCCACAAGCTTACACTTACACCTCGCTCAAGAGATTTCAAATAATCAGGGTTAAGTAAATACAACACAATCTATTTGCCAGACTTCATTCCCCTGTACTTATAAAGACTTTGGCACAGTTGCCAATCATCCTCCTAAAGGAGACAACTTTGCCTTGGTACTACATTCTCGTTTAGCAACATCAGTCAACTTTCAATTGGTTTAAAAGAGAAGACCATTGCGGTCTTCACAAGTCAGATTCGAAATTGGGTGACCAATGGGCAGTCGATTCCGACATAAACCCGATAATGGATAAAGCTAGGAGAGGTAGTTCAAGTTTATTGTTCCAAAGATAAAAATGTTGAAGCAATTGAGAGAACTGGTGGCTACAAATAATCTGCCTTTCCTTCCAATCTAAACAGGTCTTGTCTACCAAAGTAGTGATCAGCTTAATCCTAGAATGCAGTACGTCAATCAAATTAAGATTTCTGTCTGTGGATCAAGAACAGGCCGGCGAAGCACATGGGCAACCACGGACAGACCTCCAAAGCTCAGAGGAATATGCAAACTGAGCAAGTAAAACGCAAACGTGCTCCACACGCCCTCACCGTCCCACGGAACATCTGACGCCAGCGCCGGAAAACCCTGAAAAATCAGGGTCGACCACCCCGTTTCGATAACAACCAGCTAAGGCTAGACAGAAATGAAGCACAATTCGCTTTCCTTTTCGCCAACAGATATTGAGCAACGCATACACACGACCATTTAAAGATCGTTCCTATGTCAAAACCGAAAAAAAAAAAACCCACGAACGATCCGGGGCCGATTTCAGTCCGGAGGGAGAAGCTCTCAGAGCCATGGAAAGAGCAGAGGAGCTAGCAAAAGCGAGCCAACCTGAAAAGAAGCTTCATGGGTGTTCTCGTTCTTGGAGCAACGGCGTTTCGGAGAAGCCGAGGGCCTCAACTTGGAAGGGAAGAGAAGAGGGCATGGCGAGGGAGACACGGTCAGAGATTTGCCCAAGTCTCTGCATAAAACGATCGGATTGGGAGAAGCAAAGGGCGGATGAAGAACTAGCATCATCCGCCAATTCCGCAGCAGAACTTGAATCGAAAATCGAAAGGAAGAAGCTTTTTCGAGTATGGGTTGGTCGTCGATTCGGAATTTTGTGCTTTTTCCAGAATTTTGGATTTAATTCAGTGGCATGGAAGAACAAGAAAGTGACAATTTTTGCTGCGGATAAATAACGCGGGATATAAATTCTAATCAGAATTTTAAGTCCGATAAGAAATAATTAAATGAATTTTGTTTTTTGATTGCAGTGTTTTTTTTAATATGAGAAATTACAATTGAAGTTCTGGAACTGTTCGTCAAAGAGTAGGGAGTGGCCCGAACAGAGCTCGGGGGGGGAACCGCCGTCGATGGCGGCGAAAGGGGAGATCTTGGAGCTGAAGAGGAACTCCGGCCCCGGCAATAACTGGGACAAGATAGTGAACGGCGCGGTGAAGATAGAGAAGAGATTGTTCCCGAAGCACGAGTCGCTGGCCAGATCGTTCGAGGAGGAGCTGAGGAAGAAGAACACCGGGTTGCTTTACTTGGAGCTGGACGGCGAAGTCGCGGGCTATGTCATGTACGCTTGGCTTTCTTCGCTGTGCGCCTCCATCACCAAGCTCGCAGGTTCTTTTCGAAAAACCCTTCCTTCGTCTGCCATTTCTTTGTTCGTCCCGCATTGGCCGTCACCTGTTTGACGCAAGTCCTATGAGAGTCAGGCGCATTCATTTCTTTTTTCGTTCTTTTTACTACGTGGGTCTCGATCTTATGGAAACGCGAACGTCGCTCACCAGTCAAAGAGAGCTGTCAGAGGCAAGGGCATGGCGGGTCACTGCTGCGGGCGGCGATGCAGAAGTGCAGGGAGAGGAAAGTGCAGAGGGTCTCGCTTCACGTGGATCCCCTGAGGGCTCCCGCCATGAATCTGTACAAGAAACTGGGGTTCCAAGTCGACAGCTTGATCCGAGGCTACTACTCTTCGGACCGCGATGCCTATCGAATGTTCTTGGATTTCGATGCGGACTGATTCACTGTCCCAAAAACGAACGATGCCTTCATCTCAGACTCTTAAAGTTACCAGTGCATTGACAAAGACTGCAACGACTATGTTGAATGCACATGCACTTTTATTGATTGGGACAAAGACTACTATTTTTGGCAAAATGTTCAATGTTTATTCAAATCTCTAATTTTATTTTTCCAATCGAATCTTCGTACGTTATACTTCTGTTTTGTGATTATCGACCTTTCCCTTGAAAAAGTAAATGAGCTTGTTAACATGGTCATTAAGTTGGCATGAGCGTCTACTGAAAAAGGTATTACTAACTACACTTTCGCTGTATTCCCTTTCTCTCTCGTGCACATGCGGTCGATTCGTGCAACACTGTGGTACTTAATTAACTCATTTATGGTCATTCTTCGAATTAAATTAAGTCGACATGTAAATTTGCATGTACTTTCTTGAAATTGTTTTCAAAAGGTATTAGGGATGATGGCATGGGTTTTAGAATCTTTTCGATTTGGGCAATGTTGTTCTCGAACTTCTTTTAGTGCAATTGTGCCCTTAAACTTTTTCGGTTTGTGCAATATTAGTCCTTCCATCATATACTTTGACACAAAGGCATATGATAGTCAAATGGTTGTTAATTGCCATATCTTACTTCTTGCGTGCCGTGCTAAGGTGACACACCTCCAACCTCAGCACATCAACAGGCTTAGTTACGGCAATGCACATCAAACAATAGCCTCGCCACGAGCCGCCAAGAGTAGTGGCCCTTGGTGCGGTTGCAGGTGTGAGGCGAGGGAAGCTTCCTCGCTGCGGACGATAGCGAGGTATAGCGGTGAGCGGGAAGGAGCTCGCCCCCATGCCATTAAACCTACTGTTTAATCATTTGAAGTTCCAGGTTTGCATCGACAAGGATCCGACATGGATTTAGATTCGAAGTCGAGACGCTGGGTCGAGTCATATCAGTAGTAGCCGAGTCGCTTCCTGTTCGATGGAGACTCGAAACTTTTTGCCTTGGGCCCGAGCAGTTTTAGGTCACTCTCCATGCAACGCGAGGCCTTGCCGAACCAAATACGATTTACGCTTCACAAGACAAGTGCCACTTTGCTCATCCAATCTTCCACATCACCGCCGTGCACAGGCCGGCCATGAGGTCGCTATCTCGCCTGCGCACGGCGGCAAGGTCGCGCAGATTCCGCTTGGTGTACAGAGCCCAACTCTGCCCATCTCTCTCTCCTAATCTTTTCAAAATAGATTTCTGTCGTTTTTTCTGTTCTTTTGTATATAAAGCTCAAAAATTATATTGTACAAAGAAAAATTTCAGGGATGATACTACAGAAATCGAAAAAAATTACGGACCATCCACGCCATCATTTAAAGCGTTACTGTGGAAAAGAATATGAAAATCATCGATACGATTCTCATGAACATATCAATTTCAAAAAGGAATAAAAAGGCGAGATTTTTGGACGGATATCTGCATTGTTTTTCTCATAGAACAATCCGACATCAATAAACCAATCATGGGTACTACGAGCTAAATCAGAAAATATTACATAAATAGTATAAAAATGTCATTTTTTTTCCCTCCGGGAATCCTTAAAAATGTCTTGTTTTTTCCCCCTCCGGGAATCCTTAAAAATGTCTTGTTTTTTCCCCCTCCGGGAATCCTTAATCTTGCCTTAGCGAGGACGGAAACGAAGCAACAGAATCACAGCGAATCGCCGTTCCGTCGCTCCCGGGCGGTCGGATTCACGGACTCCATCGCGTATGATTGACGCCCCGAAGCCCCCCACCGTGTATTTTGATCAGGATTCAGAAGCTGCGCCAATCCCTCAATTGGGTTCTGTGTCTCTCCCTCCTCTCTCGGCTTGAAAGATGGGGAGCATGGTGAAGAGTTGCATGCAATCGATTCTGAAGTTGGTGAACTCCTTGATTGGAATGGTGGGTATGGCCATGGTTCTGTACTCGGTCTGGATGATTCGGGTTTGGACGAGGCACATGTCTGATCTCGATCATTCTGCTCAGCACGCCCCTTGGTTTGTCATTTCTTGCTCTTTCGCCTCGTTTTCTTCTATTTGTTTCTGGGTATATGTTAGGACATGGTTTTCTATTTGTGCGCCTGATTTGATTGCTGAGACTCTCTTGGGAATGCGTAATTTCGTCATTTTGGTATGAGAAATGGCTTTCTTTCGTTTTGATTTCCGAGCGAGCTCTGCATCCCCAGCTGAAGTTTGTGGTTGCAGCGTCGTGTTGAAGAAGTTGGCTGAGTTTTTGGTGGTAAACGAGTTTCACATTAGAGCGATTAATATATGCTCAACTTTGATGCGGGCCATTCTGCTTTTGCAGCAAAAGCTGAACTTGAGATCTTGTTGTGTGAGTGTGAGTTTTGAGTGGACGATGCATGTGTACTTCCTTTTTTCACGTTACTTTCTCACTTTACTCTTTTTTTGGTGGGCTTTGTGGCACTATAGTGTAATGGGAGGGGGGAACAAAAAAGATGGTAACTTTGTAGGCTGGATACTTGATATTTTATCATCAGCTTTCCCAATGTATTCATTTGTCTGGTTATTTTGATATCCTAGCGGACCTAGCTGAGAGGCATTTCGTTTTGGCTAGTATAGCATACGATAGCATGTTGACAATCGAGTCTCTACGGCGTAAAAGGATCTCACTTACCAGGACAAGGCTTAGTTACTGTTGTCTATTGAAGGGAGCTGAGAGGCACTGTTTGTTTTGCTTTTTACAGCTGAAGAAACATTATGTGTTACATAGAGTTTTGATCCTTCATTTATGCTGAAAATATGGCGCGACATAATTATAAGACTTAATGACGCGTCACGTTGTCACATTGTCCTTTCGAAAATGGAAAGTGCAGTGAAATCACTCTGCCGTATGTGCATGCTGGCAGAAGTTTTAAATCTGCTGCCTTTCAATGTAGCAACTAAAGTTGGCATATAAAGGATCAAGGCCGTAGGGTTAGGAAGGTGTTACACCACATTGCATACCAGTATTAATACTCGCTATGTTTTTATTTATGAATAGTTCCCTTGCATTTGTTCTGACAAATGTTTAAGAATAGTCGATTTGTGTCTCTGCAGGTTCATTTATACTTTTCTTGGTCTTGGAGTTACTTTGTGTGTGATCACATGCTCTGGACATGTAGCTGCAGAAACAGTAAATGGCTGTTGCCTTTACCTGGTAATTTTTCTTTTAACATCTAACTTCTAGATTTGCTGTGGACCTGTAATTTTGGAGCATAATTGGATTATGCTCTTTATTCCACAGTTGAAATTTTTGGCTTTCCTGTTATCCTACTTTAGCACATTCTTTTGGTATTGTTTATTATACAAATTCATCATTGGTATTTAATACATGCAGTATATGCTGTTCATCTTTTTGCTTCTCATTCTGGAAGCTGCAGTAACTATTGACGTCTTTCTGAATCGTGACTGGGAAGAGGTATGTTAAGAATTCTTGCTAAAGTACTTGGTATTATTTCTCAAAGGCTGTCTTGGATTATGTACTTAGTAAGCTTGACATTTTGACAGGACTTTCCAGAGGATCTTACTGGGAACCTTGATCTCTTGAAAGAATTTGTCAGGTCAAACTTTGAGATGTGCAAATGGATAGGCTTGTCAATCGTATCTATCCAGGTACGTGTGCTTGAGCACGTATTTGGCTTTGGGCAATTGCTTGAACTGTTGACCCTCCTTCTTCTTTTTCCTTTTTCCTTTTTCACTATTTGTTGGACTCGGGTTCATTGGGTTTCTCTCTCCTTTATTTATTTATCTATAATAAAGTGGGCTTCACTTGATAATGCTGTCTAAAGTTGAACCTGAGAAGCGGAAGTTGACAATCAAACAAGTTGATCTTTAACTTTGCTAATAGGATGACCTTTTCTTTTCTAATCCTTGCAGAAAAGAACTCAATTGTGTTAAGCATGTTTGCCGACTTCATTGATTTCCTCGTTTAGGGCTTCCTGCCAAATTCACAACTATGAGTTGTTGATCTAAAGGAAAACAAGAGGATTGTGCTGCGATATAGTTGATTGCTCTTTATCTTCCTTTGGCAATTGCACTTAATCTTCCTTGATTAACCCAATATTGTACTTTGACACAAAATTTGAAAAGGTTACGCTTGTTATATTGAACTTTTGAATGTTTGCACTGGCATATTCTGATAGTATTTGATTAAAGTAACAGAGAATGGTTCAGTAACCTAGACATTTGCTCTTCGCATTATACCTCCTAAGTTCATGAAATTTGTTAAAATTTCACGAATGCACTATCATGAAAATTAGGATTAGAGTAGTGAAGGCATTTTTTTGTACCTTTAGTTGAAAGCGCATTCATTCCCATGGTTGAGTTGAGAAAGGTACATCCTGTAAATGGGTTTAGAGAAGTCAAGGTTTCTTTGATACCTTGGTTCAAAAGTGCATAAATTGCCAAAGTTGAGTTGGTAAAGTGCAGTAATTCATTATGACGGTTCTAATATTGCCTTCTTGCGTATTGTGAATATCACCTGTCATTTGCTTTACTTTTGAAGATGGTGCAAATTTCTTTAATTTTATGTTTACAGACACTCTTTGGTCTTTAAACAATTCTTCAAACATTATTAACATGTCATTAACTGAGTGATGATTGACATGCATGTTGCCAACCCTGCGCATATGAGGAAATACAAACGAGCAATTCCTTTTTCCTTTTTTAGCTTTTGATTTCTATTGCCTCTCTTTGACTCTCTCATGCTTTTGTTTCAGGGACTATGCATTCTACTGGCAATGGTACTCAAAGCTCTTGGGCCGCATGAAAACTATGACAGTGACGATGATTTCTCCCCTGACAGAGTTCCTTTGTTGAAAAATGCTATGGTCCCACCACCTTATGTTGTTGCAGACCCTGCTTATGGATCCAAAAGCGAGGGATGGAGCATAAGAATCAATGAAAAGGTACTGATGTTGGCACTCTTGACCTGTCATGTATTGTATACCAATTCACCTATTTTAAGTTCTAGCTTGCTGGCTTTGTCAGCTTTGGCTTCATGGAAACTCGAGGTCTGATTTTTCTGGTGCCTCCACGGTTCTATATCTCCATTTTAACCAACTGTTCAAAATTGCAGGTGAACTTGCATTTTTAGCATGTGACGGGTAAACATGCATGATTTGTCTATTGAGGAAGATTCATACTAAGGTTATCTTATCTCAGTAAATTGGAGCTGGTCACTTCTGTTTCTTTTTGTTACATTAACATATCCTCTTTATTGTCCTCAATGATGATTCCTCAGAGATGATTGGGTTAATCCTATTTTGTTCAGCCTCATTTTGGATCACAATTTATTGTTTCTAGTCGATGTGATTCTGTCCGACCAGCCTGCACTTCGTGAGGCAGACAAAATGCCTACAGCTCTATGTTAATATTTGTTAGAGGGCATCCTGAAATTGAATTTATCTGTACCGCTGGACATTTAATATTGTTCTGTGTTTGTTTTTCCGATTCGAATTAAGATTCTTCATTGGACTGTTTACATGGATAGGATATTGCACATCTTTGTTGCTCATCCCAAAACTCATAACCTGATCTTTTACGTCATATTCTTGTTACTTTTAATGTAGACAAGGAGGTGACCGAACGGGTTCAATGAGGCGTCAACTGTTGACTGGTGGATGGGACGCGTAAGATGCTGCTCTTGGTCATGCCTGTTAAACGAATTGGAGGTTCATCGTGGGATGACTGGTCTAAAATTTCCGAGTTTGTGCACTTTGTAGTGTATACGTGTACAATAATGCAGATAGTTCTACAACTGTGCACCAAAAAGCGAAATATGCTAGAACTCAAGAATTTTTTTTGTTAATAGTGTAATGCTACTATATGCAAATATGGAATTAAACTCTCATTCTCGTCTTTCAGTGCCTCTTTTATCCGGTAGCTAACCAGAGTTTGGTGGTTCGGCAGCATGGAAGCAATGCAGTTTGACATGCATCACCATTATTCTGCAGTAGGATTACGGTTGCATCAACTTTTGATCCGGAAAATTTGGGGTAACTGATGTTTATAAATTGGTGTTTGATTAAACACTCGAATTCATTCTGATGTCAGTCTAGCTAAACATGGCATTCACTGATCAATGTGTCAGTCGTCTCGCTGTGCCTGTTTTCGGCGATTCTTATACTTGCAGGTGTTTCATCCGCTAGTTGCTGATGAAGTGGCATGTGACAGGCCAACCCAATACGATGTCGATTGATTCGGTAACGAGATTAAAAGAGGCAATTACGTCAAATTATGAATGATATATCTGATATCCTCTCGTGTTGCTTTAGGACCAAAAAGAAAAAAGAAGAAAGCACTATGGATTACCTGTCGACAGATGCAAACTAAAGGTTGCACACAACGTGACTCTTATGAGGATTCAAACGTATGCTTTAGATTAGGATAATGCGAGTGCTCCTTTCGTGCCATTAGTTGAGTGGATTTGCCAGTTATAATCCTTCAACCGCAGCAGCTTTAACTAACAATTTAATCATACTTTGTCGGACAACATGAATCAAAGTCGTCCAACGACTCTAGAGCACTCTTTTCTAGAAAAGGCAGCGTGAATTGCTCATGTGCGTCATAAAATATTCAAGACACATACTTTTGATCTCCGGATTTCTAGGTACCGTCGCGAAGCATATATCAGGATTTAAGGGAGAAGAAATTGCGATTTACAACTGAGAATCACAGTTTGGGAATTTATGTTACTAGATGATCTGTTTTTTAGTCTAATTTCAGGATCAAATGTGATTAAAATTTGGTGATGGGTCGTATATAATTTTCTTTTTGGGGTTCTGGGGCACCAAGAGTGCATCCTTTTTCGAGATACGAGAGCGTTGTATAAAGGGTCTGGTGCCAACAAGGTCTTCAAGAAGATGGTCAAAAGGATGCCTTTCCCATTAAGCTCCAGGCAGATCGTCTTTTCAAGACTTTAACCCATTTGTTCCTATGCGTTGTCTTCGAGCTTTAACGATATCTCGATTCTCTATCACATGCCCACTACTCTCTCACCTTCTCAATATAGTAATCTGTCATCCCTGATAATTAAACAGCCTTTCTGCAATCTGAACGAGCACGAGGACTGACCTCACAACTGTAGGTTACAGAGGCCATATCTCTGGATATAATGAACTGCAAAAAATGACCATTACCACCGTCTACTCTTTACCCAAAAGCGAATGAAGAGTCAAATGCATGTAAATGTGTGAAAACGGAAAGGGGTGTTCTATTTTTTCACCTGTGAAGTGAGATCAGAATGACAAGTGAGAATGGGGGAAAAGGTTGGTGATGGGTAATTTTCTAGCGAGAGAATGGACAAACACGCACTGGGTGCCGATTTGTCTGTATGAGTGGATATAACGGTTGGTGCCTGCAGATAAGTCACATGCCGGCAACAGATTCACATGTGCTCGTGCCAGCTTCGGACAAAAGAAGGAAAGAATCAAGCCTGCATTTTTCAAAAGAAACTTGCAAACTTGTGAGGATCTGCCGTTTTGTTTGTTCTGGGGAAAACTGTGTCTGAGCAAAATGTTTCATATAGATTCCATTGCAGTCAGCATCCTCTTTCTCTCCCCTGAACTTCCGAGGCTGTTGGATCTTGGATCACACCCCAAATGAAAACCACCACAACACAAGGACCAACAAAGTGAAAAATCACAACTTTCTTTCTCGTTGTTGCTGTAATCATTGTGCTGCTTTTGCTTTCTCTAATGTCTAGCGTTTGCTCGACGTTGGAGCTGTAGATTATGCGGGTGATTGTGGGGGTGAGTGGTTTGAGCAACATCATTAGTGGGATCTGAGAGGTTGATGAGGAGGGGAAGCACTGAGGACTACATTTAAGTGGAATTCGAGAGGTCGCTTGCTTCAACTTCCACTGTCTACTGTAATGCTCCACCCAACATGTACCGTTTAGGTTGTCCATTCCTTTTGTTTTCAAGAGATTGATCTCAAAGATGCGAGGAAGCAACTAAAAGATAAAAAAAAAAGAGCATCATTAAGAACTCAGCAAGCCACTTTCAAAAAACATAAGCAAGATTTCTAGAAGCCAGACACACGAGGACAGCATATACACTATCCGTTCCTCAACAGAACTAGGGGCGACATGAAGGCACTCGCACTATCTCTCTTGCTTTCTCGACGATTAATTTTCACCAGACAGTAATTCTCGATAATGCAACAAGTAATTTTTACATCTTTACGCGATGCTGGAAGTAAATATGATTACGAGCAAAGACAATCTCTAGCCCACCTCCTGGTCATCCGCTTGCTGAGGGTACCTAAACAGAGCTTCCGGGGGCCATCATGTAAAAATCCAGATGATGCAACTTTCCACATGAAGAAAGTGTTAATCCCTCTAGAGCTCACGTTCATCTATCCAGCCAAGATTCAGCTCACATGGGGTGGGGGGCAAGCTCAAGCGAAATCGCCCCATGTGACCCAGCAAGATTCTGTGATCTCTGGTGTATCATCGAGTGGGCGGTCCACTCCATCGGATGCGGATGCGCATCAGATAAGGTCCATTAATTCAGAGAAACATCTGCCTCAACGGGGCCACGACCTTAGGCCACATGATTCATTACCCTTAAAGTCCTCATTCTCCTCAAATACATCTACTGCTTTAACTTGACAGAACTCAATGCATTCTCGAAAGGGTGCAGATTTTTTGCACAGATCTGATTAGGTTAAACACAGTATGAATACGAGAGTGCCCATGCACCATTGAAATTGGCTCCGTGAGCCAAAAGGTCAGCAAAATCAGCTAGACCCTTTCACATGTAACTCTTGTACTTCCATGGACAAGTCCTTTTATACCTAACAAGAGACATCGCTGGATCATTTAGTCAAAGGGAATTGGAAACACATCGTTAAATCAAAAGTTGATTGTTTAATTAATGGAACAAGGGCCCAACTCCTTAAAAAACCCTCCATCTTAAGTCTAATCTCAATTCTGCCCGAACTTTTTTTTTTATCTAAAAAAACCCTAAACATTAGGTTTGATCCCAAATCTGTCCCGAATTTTGTTTTGTCTAAAAAAAATCAACAATTTTCAATTTATTCTCAAATCTACCTTCATGGTTTAATCCTAACTTGACATGACATTTCCACGTCAATAACAAATCCACATGAGCAAGGTTACATGGAAAATTATCTCCACAATGAAACCTTCTAGAATATGAAAATTAGGGATGACTAATGGCGATTTTTGGACAGAGGGCTAATGGGAGCAAATTTGGGATTAGAGTAAAAATTGGTGATTTTTCTCTTAGGCAAAAAAAATTTTGAGGTAAATTTGAGACTAGGCTTTTTTTTTTTGATCGAATGAGACTAGACTTAAAGTTGAGTTTTTTTTTAGATAGAGAAATTTGGGGCAGATTTCAACTAGACCTAAAGTTCGGGTTTTTTTTAAACAAAAAAGTTTGGGGCAGAATTGGGACTTTGACCTAAAATTTGGGTTTTTCTAGGGAATTAAGCCATGGAATGAGTTATAGAGGGCTATAGTTATTCTTATGATCCATGCAATTAGGGGTGAGAAATAGGAACCGCCCTGGACTGGAAACTGCCCCTAATCGAATCAAACTGACCGGCTCTGGGTGATCCTAGGGGCGCTGGTCCGATTCCATAAAATTCGAAATGGGGATTTTCAATTTGGTTCCTAGTTCCAATTGCGGAATTGCCAACCTAGACCTCTCAAATCTGATCTATTATTATTTTTTTATTTCTTAAAAATCTTTAAAGAAAACCCTAATCACATATTCATAAATTACACTTGCCCTTTCCCTGTTCCCTCTCACGCTCACTCTTTCCCTCTCACCCCTCTCACGCTCGCTCTTTCCTTCTCTGCTCTCATGCCTCTTTCACAATCGCAACCTTAATCGCTCTTTCCCTCTCACACCTCTCTCGCTCAACTGTCACTCATGACTCACGACTCTCTCAGTCGCTCTCTCTTGCGACTCTCAGATTGCGCCATCCTCTCTCGCTTGAGTCTCGTCCCTCTTGCTCGAGCTCAACACCTCCCTCTCGCGGTCTTATCTCGAGTCTTGACTCTCGCTTCCCTCTCTTGCTCTGTTTTTTGCATCTCATCAAGGTAATATCCAATGCTCTGTTTTTTGCCCTTTTTCGTACAAAATACAAATTATAGGTTGAACGTGAGGCTGCGTGATTTTGCAATTTAGGATTTTACTTATAGTGCTGGAAGTGTATGGTTTTCAGAACTCATGAGATTGCGATTGGTTCCACTGGATCGTAGCGGACCGACCGGGCCAGTCCAATCTAGTTCCTGGATCACGTGGTCCAAATCCCGGTCTCCAATTAAGAACAGGACCGCTCGCAAAACCGAGGACTCTTACATGCGATGATAAAATGCGACCTCCACGTGTCGCAAGAGACATAAATGTTGAAATGTTACCAGTTGGAACTAGTCATGGCCACGGGCCAGTTTCGGCCCGGAACCGGCCCGGTCAAACCCAGGCCTAGCCCGTTGATCGGGCCAGCGGTTCGGAACCGAAACCGGCCTGTGGCCTATGGACCCGGTTTTGGTTCCAGCAATTTTGGAACCGGCCTGGAACCAGCGGTTCTGGACCCAATTCCAAAAATTTTTTTTTAAATAAATAAATTAAAAAAAAAAACAGAAAACCTGCAGCAGGGCCTGCACGTCTACAGGCCCTGCTGCAGCCCGTTGCCAGGGCCTTTGCAGGCTGCCTTGGCAACGGGCAAAAAAAAAATAAAAAGATAACCGGAACCGGCCGATTCATATATGGCCACGAACCGGAACCGGCCGGTTCCGAACCGTGGCCATGACTAATCGGAACACTTTCTTTGCCGATGCTGACCAAAATGCCCTCCCCATTCCCGGGCGCGTACGGTCAAAGCGGAATTAACGCCTTAACAGCCGGTGGGCCCCCCCCGCACGCCCCCCTTCGGGGGAGCCGAAGTGGCAAGCACCGTAAATAAACGCGTCCTCCGTGTCCACTCTCGAATTGAAAAATCAATAGAGAGGCAAAAGCGAGGCTCGCAGCTTTTCTGTTTCTTTATAAATTGGCGTTAAACAGAGACGCTAGGAGTCTGCAGCGCTACAGAGTAGTATACAGAGTAGCAGCTAACAGCGTTCTCGACCCCTGTGGCAAGTGTCGGCGAGCCTTTTCGAGGGCTTCCCTTCCCCCCTCTCTCTTAACTGTCCCTCGGTTTCTCCGCCGCGAGCTGGTGGCGGGGACAATGCAGCGCCGCCGTGGCCCCTCCTCTGCCCCGCTCCTCGCTCGGCTCTGGCTCTTGCTGGTGCTGCGGTGCGCGTCTGCGCAGGTGAAGAAGCAAGTGGCCGTCACGCGCTGGAAGCCCGCCACGGCCACCTGGTACGGCAGCCCCGACGGCGACGGCAGCGACGGTGAGTTGGTCCCGCTCCGACCCTTGGTGTAGCTACATTGTTCGGATCTGCTGATAATCGTTGAGAATTCTCAAAGCTTGTGTTCTGTACGCGAGTCGCCTCTGAGTCATCTAGAGCTAACTGGGTAAATGTAAAGGGTTGTGCATTTCGGGGGATTCATTTGTTAGGCTCCACTTCGCACTTTGCATGTAGCTAAAAATGTGCCATGAAGACTCGGTGAGTCTGCGGAGTTAAAGCTCCCTCGAGAACTCGCTAATGGGGGATGTTCTCGTTGGACAGACTCTTTGAGTCTTTGGGTTGAAAATGTGTGCAATGTGAGGAGAGAAGACGGTAAACAAGAAAACGTAGACATCTCTCTCCGTCTGTGTGTGTGTGTCTCTCTCTCCTTTTTTACATGCAACAATATGTATGACAGCGACGCCTGAAATTCAATATGACAGTGACCACTACTACGTATCATTCTTGTGAAATCTTGGTAGTTCACCAAAAAATGGTTTCCCGCGGGATCTGGAATCATGAAAATCAATTGAATGCCATCTGATGGAAACTCTTTTGGGGCTGAAAATGCAGGTGGGGCGTGCGGGTACGGGTCGCTGGTGGACGTGAAGCCGCTGAGGGCTCGGGTCGGGGCGGTGAGCCCGGTGCTGTTCAAGGCCGGCGTGGGCTGCGGGGCGTGCTACAAGGTGAAGTGCGTGGACCAGAGCATCTGCTCCCGGAGGGCCGTCACCATCATCGTCACCGACGAGTGCCCCGGCGGCTACTGCTCCGGCGGGAACACCCACTTCGACCTCAGCGGCGCCGCCTTCGGCCGCATGGCCATCACGGGCGAGGCCGGCCCGCTCCGCAACCGGGGCGTCCTCCCCGTCCAGTACCGGAGGTAGGGCAGCTCGTTCTGCTCTTTTTGACTCTGCGGAAGCACAGAGTCGCGCTGTCTCTCCGCCCTTTACTTTTCAACGGTCTTTGTGGGGATCGAGGGTGCTCTGGTCTTCGAGAAATTCAGCAAAAAATGTTGGGGGCTTCTTGAGGACACTTATTAAAGAATTCTTAAAAATCACTTGGGAAACAATTAAAAATGACAACATAAATCTACTGACTTTTGGCTTTAGCAATGAATACCGGGAATGCGCGCAACAACATCCCGATCATTTTTCAAGAAAATATTTTTTAAATTATTTATTTTGTTTTGCGAAACAAACCCACCGGAAGAGACTCTCTTTTCTTTGTTTTTTGGGTTAACGAGACATGGTTTATCGTATGATATTGGGATTGCAGGACACCGTGCAAGTATCCGGGCAAGAATATAGCGTTCCACGTGAACGAAGGCTCCACGGACTATTGGCTCTCTCTCTTGGTCGAATTTGAGGATGGAGATGGCGACGTGGGTTCCATGCACATTAGACCCGTAAGTCTTTCTCTCTGTCTCTCTCTCTCTCTGTCTCTCTTCTTTTCCTTCTGCCCTTGTGCTTCTTTGGTCCTTCAGAAATTAAAGGGGAAAACAAAAGAGTGAAAGTGTGTTGAAAGCACCACCAAAGTTAGTTTTTTTTCCATTCGATTCATTCTTTTGTCTGTCTTTCTTATTCAATTCCACCACTGAAACTTTTGGGGTCCCATGGAATTCACAAATGGTGCCTAACTTTAGGAATGTGCTCCTGTGGAAAAGTGCCGCATCTTCCGCTTTAATTAACTTCAGAAAAGGGACCTTATAAACGTGCTAAGAAAAGAGTCGCACCAAAGAGCACATGATGCACTTTGGTAAAGTCGCGCGATATTCGAATCTTTCGTTGAAATCTTTAACACCCTTTTGGAAGCCAACTCCTGTAGTCGCGGCGGATCGTGCAGACGTCACGTCGCACGGTAGTCCCTCGACTTGTGGGCTCGTAATGGTGTCCATATCGTCACTAAAACTAAACTTCTTGTCGTGTTCATGGATATGGGCAGGCGAGTTCGAGCGAGTGGGTAGAGATGAAGCACTTGTGGGGGGCGAACTGGTGCATCATTGGGGGTCCTCTGCAAGGCCCCTTCTCGGTGAAGCTGACCTCATTGTCGACCTCAAGAACGCTCTCGGCCAGAGATGTCATCCCAAGGAACTGGTCTCCCAAAGCCACTTACACCTCTCGCCTCAATTTCTTCTAACTCCATCATCTATCCGCCAAAGTCCCCCTTTACCTAGCATCCCGTCCCAAAGTAGCTTTTGCCGGTTCTCTTTTTCGAAGAAAAGTAGCGAGTGGAGGTGCATAGATTGGCATCCCATGCTCTTTCTTCTTCTTCTTCTTCTTCATTTCAATTTTCCCCCTTGATGTGTACTTTTTTTCTCATTTGGGTTTTCTTGGAGGCAAGTGTGGGCGGGAGTGTTCGTGTTGTGTAGTTGATGTAGCCCCTCTCCGAAGGAGAGAGAGCGTGCATAGGCTTTGCAATAGCATGTGTGCAGAGATTGGGTTGGTGTGGGGTTAACGAGATTGTGGGGGCCATTGTTTTGTCTTGATGATGACTTTGGACCGTTTAAATTGAATCTGCTTGTCGATCCATGTTGTGGGGGGGAGACAAAGGTCAGTTGTTGTGGGGACACTTGTTGTGAGTTTGTTTCTTCCGTCGATTCAGTTGTAGTCGAAGGTGAATTTTAATTGTTCGAGCTACTTGCAGGAGTGATTTCTTTAGTGTCTGTATACCTTAATTGACCGGTTGTCATCATGCCCAAAATCTAGGCCTAAACATAAGGCCAAATCAGGTCACAACAATATAATTCACCCATAAAGCCCACTCTATAGAATGCTTAAACAAACCCCTTGATCATAACCCCTAAAGCCGTCGATGGGATGTAATGGAGAATTCATCAATTGTGAGTTTTAAATTGACAGAGTTTAAGCGAAAATTATGACACGTGGTGTTGGCCAACTCTAGACTTGAAAGGAAGATGAAGCCCGAGTTAAGAAGCATCTATTAACCAAGGGATAAATGGAGCTAAAAGATCGTTGGCGATTACAAGTCGTCTAGACTCAGACTCCGCAATCCTGAAGTAGAGCGCAATTGGAGATTCTTGTAGATGAAGTTCGAGATGCATAATGAAATCACGCATTAAAGATAGAGGAGGAATCGGGGGCAGAGGACATCTAATATATACATGCATAGATTATTCAATAAGCTTCTTACATCCCTTCTGTACTTTAGTGATTCCTATTAAAAGGTCTGTGTTTCAATTCTGTCATCGAGTAACTATGGCATCCAAGAACGTGTAACAACATCAAGCCAATTATCGAGTTTGACTATATTGGACATGCGATGGTTAGATCAAGAAAAATGAGAATTGGCTGTGGAATGAGAAGAGCACACTTTAAGCATGACCGCAATGGCACAGACATGGAATGGGAATCCGATGAACTTTTTGGCAAGCAATAATTCCTTTTGTGGGACGCACTGTTTTGCCGGAACTTGCATTAAAATCGTCACGGATGCGCGAGTCGGGCCATTTATGTGGCCACGTGCAACCGCAGCCTTAGTCCGAAGGCAGTCCAAACGATCCCTACACAACGGTGACCGAGGAGGGACATGACTGAATGAGTAAGCAATGCGTGGCTTAGATAGCAAGGGCTTGACCACCAAAACCCAAAAAGGCAATAACACTTGCATGCTCTCGGCAGTGGCGATGCTGAGACTTGCATTCAAGTTAAGAAGAAGACTATAAGTCACTTGTTAAGCAATCAAGTTAAGAAAGTTTTGCGATTCTCAATACATCGATTGTCCTTGTAATATGCACGGCCGGTGCTTCTAAATAAGCCTACGAGCTTTTCAAAATTTTAACATACTTTCTTTGTGTGAAAATTCGTTCTAGAGTATAAGTCGTTGAACATAAAATTCAAGAGGGGTTTTTTTTTTTAAAATTTTCCTCAAGGCAGCAAGTTTGCCTTTTGGACAAGACCGCAGGGGCACGGGCACGGAATGGGAATCCTAAGAAACTCCTGCAAGTTGTAATTGCTTTCGGGACACACTGTTTGCCGACACTTGCATTAAAATAGGGCAACCGCAACCCTTAGTCCTAGGAGCGATCGTTTCCCGGTTCGATCCGGTCCGATTCCGATTTGGTATAATGGAACTGGTCAATTAGGGTTAAATTCATATTTTATTAATTTTTATTAATGAATTCATGTCATGAAGTTCACTTAAATTTAGTTTACATTTTACTAATTTTTTTGAAAAAATAAAAAAAATATATGTAATTGATCCGGTTCGGTTCCCGGTTCTCCCTTGGAACTGGAAACCGGATCTCCCAAACAACGGTTTCACTTATAGGAATTGGGAATCGGATCCAACCGGCTGGTTCGATTTGGCTCAGACGGTTTCCGATTTGGGCAGTCTGTTTTGCGCACCCCTACTTAATCCGAAGGCAAAGGGAGAGTGTGTGCATCTAGAAAGAGCTAACCATATGATGAACTCAATTCCAAAATTTTTTGAGTCTTGTCGATTGAGCTTCACCTAGGTATTTAAGTCCCAATCTTTACTCCGTAATCACAATCTTTAGAATCAAGCTCGATTATACAAACACTTTGAACGTGAACGAATCGAACTTCACTTCCCCAAACATCGGTGAGTAATAACGTGAGGCTTCAATGGCAAGGGAGTTTACTTCTCTCCTTGTGGTATTTACGTTTGGGTCTGATGGGAGTGGGGGAGCACGCCCTTAACATCTCCCGGGAGGTTAATCGGGCGAGATGAGAGAAAGCTCATGTGGACGCTACTAGACTGCCAAACCCAGTAGAGCAATGACACTAGCATGCAATGCCATGGGGCAGTGTCATTGTTGAGACCCGCACTTTAATTTAAAAAAGAGAGAAGACTTTGTTAATGAATACTACAGGTCACTTGTTGAGCAATCAAATTAAGAAAACTTTGCGGTGCTTTATACATCGATTGTCCTCGTGACATGCACAACCGGTGCTTCGCTTCTAAATAAGCCCACGAGCTTTTCAAAATTTAAACATACTTCGGGTAATGCAAAATCATCACTTTTTGACCGTATATCCTTTATTTGTGTTTATGAAATTAGAGGAAGCTTTTGTTCCCGAGTGGAAGTGTCGGCAAACATTAAAATATGACCAAAGGAGGCGGTGATGATGCAAAAGGCAAAAAGGGAATTTCCTTTTATCTTTTTTATTTGTCCGATCTTCAAGGCCCATGACATGAGGCGAGAACCGTCTAAACTCGCCGTGCCACGTCGACGAAGGTCATCGTCCACGTGTAACAACCTCCAGCGCGAATCTTCTCTTCTTCCCGGGAGGGAGTCGAGAAACTTCCATGCCCGTTGACCCCCGTCGGTCGGTCCCGCGAGGCGCGAAGTCAAACCCCCCCGCCGCCGCCCGCGAGCCGAGAGGATTTCGGTCGCCGGAGCCACCGCGCTCGACGGTCGAAGAAGATGGCGGACAGATTCTTCCCCAACACCATGCCGGACTTCGCGGCGGCGGCGACGTCTCTCGAAGGAGGCGGCGATGGAGGGACGGTCTCTGCTCCCGGAGATTCTTCCTCCCTCGCGAAGCTCCTCGCCATGCCTCACCCGGTCCTCTCCGAGAATTTCAAGCGCGCTGCTCTCGACCTCAAGGAAACCGTACGCTTTTTTTTCTCTCTTCGTTTCCCGAGCTCCGAGCGCCCCCGCGCGCGCGCTTTTTCAGGGTTTTCGGTGCGGCAGGTTCACCAGTTGTTTGTGGAAATGTCGCAGATAGCCGTGGAGACGTGGGGTGTCACGAGGCAACGCGTGCGGGACTTTACTCTGTACTGCGGTCCTCTGGGAACTGCTTTCTTGCTCTTCAAATCGTATCAGATCACGAACAACTCCAATGATCTCGCACTCTGCTCCCAGATTATCAGAGCTTGTGACTCTGCTTCTGCTGGATCCAGGTACTCTGTTTTCTCCCAGTTATTTGTCGTGTGAATCTTTCGGGCACGGGCTATGCTAATGCGCGCTGTCAAGTGATAGTGTGAGGGAAAGAAAATGAGTAGTACACAAAAGGAAGTCGCTGAGGTGTTAAGTTGATGGGGATGCGTTCTCTTACCTTGAAAATAACTATGTTATTTTTTGGAGTCTTTTCATTACTCCGTGCAAGAGTAATTTTGAGAAGTTAAAAGTGCGACAAAGCCCACTTTTAGCTTAAATATATGGATATGAAATTCGTTAGCACTGCTCGGGCACTTGCTGATTAATCAGAACTAAAAGGAGGTTTTGCAATTTTCAGAGCATTACTTTTCTTGTCTTATGTTTCCATATTTGGGAGCAAAATCTTTTCATCAAGTGTACTTATGGTTAACATGTCCGGAAGGCTCGTTGACAAGACCCTTATCGTATTTATCTTTCTTTCGGTGAAAAAAGAATGTATAGTTTGTTGGTGGGTCGACTCTTGAGGCTGTGCTGTTTTCTTAGCTTTCCCATTTTGTTATCGCCGACAGGGATGTGACGTTTATGTGTGGGAGGGCCGGTGTCTGTGCTCTTGGTGCGGTTGTGGCAAAGTATGCAGGCGATACTCGCTCTCTCACTCATTATCTAAACCGCTTTAAAGAGGTAGATTCTTGAAACTGTTTATTCTGTACTTTTCTGATTTTTAATCTAATTGTTTCGTAAGGCACGGTTTGTCGACCTGCATCTTCGCAACAGATTAAGTTGTCCAAGAGTATTCCAGATGAGTTGTTGTATGGGCGAGCGGGATTTCTATGGGCCTGCTTGTTCTTAAACAAGCACATTGGCGAGGGGACTGCTCCTTCATCGACCATGGTGACATTTTCATTGAATCTTTGATATCTCATTGCTATTCTCAATGCTTGTGCAAATTGCCGTAATCTGGCTAATGGTATTTTATGAAGCGTGCTGTGGCAGATGAAATATTCAAAAACGGGAGAGCATTGGCTAAGAGAGGAGGAGAGTCCCCACTGATGTTTGAATGGTACGGCGAAAAGTACTGGGGTGCTGCCCATGGATTGGCTGGCATAATGCATGTTTTAATGCATATGGAATTGAAACCAGATGAGATGGAAGATGTCAAGGGCACTCTCAAATACATGATTAGAAATAGATTTCCTAGTGGAAACTATCCTTCCAGTGAGGATGATAGAAACAGGGACGTTCTTGTGCATTGGTGTCATGGAGCCCCTGGGATTGCCCTCACATTAGTAAAAGCTGCTGAGGTAAACATAGCCAAGTAGTCTCTGAGCCTTCAAAAGGGTGTTTTCTTATGATACACGATATCGGCGTTTTCTCAAATCTTCTCTACTCGTAAAAAGCTTTCATGCTGATCACTTACTCGGAGTGTATGCTGCATGCCAGGTCTTTCCAGATGACGAATTCTTACGTGCTGCAGTCGATGCTGCGGAGGTAGTGTGGAATAGAGGGCTGTTAAGGAGAGTCGGTATATGCCATGGGATAAGTGGGAATGCATACGTGTTTCTCTCGCTCTACCGTGTCACAGGCAACGTGGAGTTCTTGTACAGGGCAAAAGCATTTGCTTGCTTTCTTCTCGATAGGGCTCTCAAGCTTATTTCCACTGGAGAGATGCATGGAGGTGATAACCCCTACTCCCTCTTTGAAGGGATTGGAGGTATGGCTTCTCTCTTTCTAGACATGGTAGAACCCTCAGCGGCCAGGTTTCCAGCTTATGAACTTTAAAAAATGGGGAATAGATGGAAAGAAAAGAAGGGTAAGGTGAGATCATGCTTGTGGTGGAGTTGATCGAATAAATGTTGATTACAAGTTTTATTTATATGTGACTAATGTATGTACGAGAATAACTAGCGGCATCATTGTCTGCCCTCCACATCCTCTCACGCAGGCTTCTGTATCTTAGATTTCATCTTGATGTACACTGCTTGTTTCATTATAAATAAGGGCATTTCTCATTATATCGTGAAGTGCATAGTTTAGTTTTAAATTGCTGGTGCTTTGTTCTGTTCATCCAAGTTTTTGCTTTGTCTTTCTGGCCACTTCTGCGACAACTTAAAGGGAAGATGTGTGCGTTAACTCTGTAAAACCAATTGAAGAGTGGTTACTATCCACAAGAATGTTCTGAACCAGGCCTTTAACTTTCCAGTTTCTTCCTTAGTTTGGAGGGATTGTTGTTAGCTCTGTGTTCCCAAGGGTTCCATAGTTTATTATCCCTGTTTTTACAGGGTAGGGGTCCATTGTATTAGGAGTCGTTTGTTATGCATTAGCAGATAATATCAGTCTCGGAGGAATGCAGCACATATGAATCTTATATTCTTTAATAACTAGAACTTAACAAATCCCTACCTTTTCAAGTTGCTCGAATTTGAGAAGTCAGCGAGGCCAAACAAGGTGTTAAGAATGCACTTGATGAGAGCGAAAGGTGAAAGGCATACGCCAGAGGGGCTTATTTCCTTTTATGGTCTGGAACTCCTCTGGGACTCGGGGAGTCCTAATGACGTTGGGTGCTTGTTTAGTAAGTTGAGAATGGGAAAGTTCACTTGATAGGGGAGTCGCTCACGAACAAAACCCAGATCCTGCTAAGTATAGTCGTTTTCTTACGGCAAGTTTAATAATGACATTGTCACCCAAATGACCAATTTCCTCAAGCATCATGAAGAATCCCACCCGTCGCCACTTCACGCGTACCATGCATGGTTCTGACATCGGTATTCAGTTCCGACCACCTTTCCAAAACATGCCACCTTGCGACCCTTTTGGCAAAATTTCGTGATTTGGGATACTGAACTTTGAAAGTTTTGAGCTTTATCAGAAACAAACTTCAAGGTTTTGACACTTGATGGGTGCTGAAGAAGCCATATCTCTTGAGCCCCACGCTCCATTTTTCTCTTGTTTCCTTCTTCCTTGCTCTGTGACGCGTTTCCATTCAGGAACAAGTATGAAATGAGACATCGGAGGGAGGAGAAGGTCAAGCATGAAGAGTGATAGCGGTGGTTAGCGATCTCCATTACTATGAGTTTCTTCTTTAGACTTTTTATCTTTAAATAGTCTACGGCAGGTTTGGCATATGAAAAGTCTACGTTAGCAAATGAAGCATAGAAAGGCAAAATTCAAGAGTACATAAGGAGTGGTAAGCACCATCCTTGTGAGAATTCCTCGACCGAAGTCTAAGTAATCCGAAATAACAAGAGCCCCTTTCAAACCAATTTAAGTCGAGCCCAAAGAGTGAAAAGCCATGCAAATGTACAATAATATCTTCGTTAGTCCCATAAATAACATTTTCTTTTTTTTTTTCTATTTTGGAAATTTAGTGATACTATTTCATGCTTGTTATTTTGTTTGAGTAGTTAATTTTCTTCGGGATAATTATCCCTAACTTTCTTTCTTTTTCATATATAAGGAACCCACTATTATTTTAGTAGTTAATTTCCTTCAGAATAATTTTGTCCCTAACTTTCTTTCTTTTTTCATATATAAGGAACCCACTGTAATGGACGTGAAGCAAATCCAATTGAGATTTTTTATTCAGATTTTCCAAAGAAATCAAGTGGTAGAGTTTCTTCAAGAATAATGTTGCCGTTAATTAAGCATTTTTCTATGCATAATTCTAAGAGGTATGGAAAACCAAAGTATATATCCTTATATCGTTAACTGATTCTTTCGTTTTCTCCATCAGTCTCTTTCTCCATCACACCCATCATTCCTCAGTTTTCTCCGTACACTCTCTTACAACCATCAATCCAGTTCTCTCCCTTCTCTTACAAGTGAGACCCATGGCGTTTACTACATATACTTGAGAAGAAATATATTAATTTTAGGCGATACTTGTATGTAACAGCTTCCTATTATATTGTGTAAAAAAATCTCCGAGAGAAATTGCTATTAAACTCATCCTTGTCAGCCAATGTGCATTCACAGTTTTATTTCTTGCTGCTGTGAAATGCAGGATATTTGCTTTTATTGGACTCTAATGGTTAACACTTGGCGGATCTTCTTTTTCCAAATTCATCCATTCTCAAAGCTAATGAAACACGAGAGTTCATAACTGATGATATTCAAACAAAGCCTCATTTTCCCCAAGTAGGAAGTTCAAGATTTCTTAGCGATTATAGACACTAAGAGGCGTTGAGTGATTTTATCAACTCTCAACACGGCCAACACGGCCAACTTCCGCCGTAGTCAGGGGATTCATAACTAGATTTTGCTTGTTCAGGAAGTCAACTATGAGACTGTTCACTTGGTCAGGAAGTTGCTCATGGACAAAATGGCTCCCTTCCGGCATGAAGGTGATGTCTAAGTTAGGTACAAAGTGCTTCACTTGCCCACTCCTTATGTAGTCCTCCATGCCCGGAAACTTCAGGAAGAAGTCTTTCTCTCCCATGATCAGCAGCGCCGGAGCTGTAACTTTTGGATCCACCGTGCCATATTCCTTTCCTATATTCCTAGACCAAAATTGCAACGAGTCCGATGACTTAAAGACATCAATCAGAGGGTGTTGATTTGTTGGCTTTTAGCAAGAACATTTTTGGTCTCTTGAATCAGATTTCTCTCATTTTATTTCCCCTAAATCTGGGTTTGCTATGATTACCTGTATGGAACCTGCAGGGCGAACCGAAACCCGGACTTCTCATACAAGGATGCATAGGCCGCGAGATCTTCCTCGGAGAACCATGGAGGTAGCGGGGTGGACGCGTCGACCAAGTCCATGATCTCTTGATCATCTCCAGCGACAGGGAGCTCGCTCCTGGAGAAGAGGATGTAGATGTTTCTTACGACCGTCTTGACGTCTAGCCTACTGAAGTCAGCTTCCGCTCGCCCAGTTTCCTGAAACCAATTGAGGAATTAGTAGAGAGGTGGCGGACAGGCGGTGGAGAGAGAGAGAGAGAGAGAGAGAGAGAGAGAGAGAGAGAGAGAGTTAAGAATTATACCTGCCATCTGAGAACGTAAAAGCCTTTGGGAAAGAGATGGTATTGGATGGTCGAGGATCCGGGTAGCATGAAGGGGATTCCCAGTGTGATGACTCCACAAACTCTCTCTGGCTTGACCACTGCCAATAGGTATGCTGGCAGAGCTCCAAAGTCCTTCCCCACCAGGAAGGCCTGGATTCAACACTCCACATCACCAATGGACTTTTCTTTTTAATTAACAAGATAAATCACATAATTATAGTACAATTTTGCATCTGTTTCTGTTCTCTCGACAGTTGATTTCTACTGTCGTCCTCTTGTTTTATGCTAGATTATAATCTTACTTATGCTCTTTGTAAGTGCTACGCTTGGCTAGGGAATGTCCTGACTAAGGGAGAAGGTAAGCAAATTACCATTAGTTTGACAGAAAAAAATTGGCTATCATTCGCAATGGAGATCTTTTTTGCCTTGCAGGAAACAAGCTCAGTGAAGGAGGACGTGCATCGCATGTTTGATAGGTGACCTTATTAAAAGTCTAAAATGTTCGCAGTTTTTATGCCACAGATCCTTCTTAAGATTTATCAGGTCATAGCTAAAACGTCCCAATGTTGGAAGTTAGGCAGATGACACAGAGAGATGAAGAAAATGTCCAAAGGGACGATACTATTTTGGTCCCCAAGAGTATGCCCTATCCTTTGCTTTCATAACTAAAGGCCATGTGATTGTATATAAAAACGAAAGCATTGTTTATCTCTATATGACCAAGAAAGATCCACATCAAGAAGCTCGGCCATCTCTTGATTGATGGTTCCAATGACGATTGCATTGTGTTACTGTTGGTGCCAAGAATTTGTTTCACAACGGACAAGATGTAGACTGACTGATACATCAAAATTAGCAATTGGCCAATAACAGAGAATATGCATGAAAAGCAGCAATTTTTATGGAACTACTTGTGGAGAAGGGAAAGGATGTTGAATGAATATATGAAAGATTCTCAAGTCTCAACTCTCAACAGCAAAAATTTGGCCAAAGTTAAGAAGTTTCAACATCACTAATTATCTGATCATCCCTATAATGGTCGTGCATATCAAGATTAGTACTTCTAAAAGGGAAAAAATGTAATGGAGCGTGATACATTAATATGGTGGTACCTTTGCAATGCCCAGAGCATCAAGGAGGGCAACAACATCTTCAACAAGATCGGCATAACAACCCTTCTCAGGGTCAAGAGGCTGATCGGAAAGCCCATAGCCTCTAAAATCGATGGCAATGGCGCGGTACCCGGCATCTGCGACGCCGATCATTTGGTGCCTCCATGTGTACCATATCTCTGGGAACCCATGCAAGAACACCACCACCTTTGGACCTGCAGAGTGCACCCAGCAAATTTATGAACTGGGTTATTCTTTATATGATGAACTCAGCAGCATATATGAGTGAATGACACTGAACAAGTCATGTATATGTGTGTGTGTCTCTCTCTACACTTTCCTTTATTATGTACCTTCTCCAATTTCAGCAACATGAAGCTTCACATCTCTTACTGCTACATAGCTGTGCTTGGTTTTCTCCATCTTTCCTGGAACACAAACACACAGACCCAAACAGAGGAGAGAGGTAAGCAGGTAAGGAGGAGTGACGAGTATGACATTGTAGACGGCCTTTGTTGTAATTAAATAGTTGGTTTCTACTAAAATGCCGACTAGGCAGTTTTAATTCCTCCCCAAGTCAAACAAACAGATAATTCCACTCAAAGTTGTAGATTCTCAAGAGCATCCTTGGTTTAGATAATCTGCTAATTACAGTTGTACACTTGGGTCCAAACGATCTTTCCCACAAGAAAGATTTGTTGTGAGGGTTCCCCAATTTTTTATTAAAAACTGATTCACATAGATCCTATGTATGGTCATGATTTGAAGCTGATACAATTGACTTAACTCTCATTCGAAGTTCCTATGCTTTCTTCTGTTAGATTGGTAAATCCATTAAGTCTTCGATAGTTCATGTCGTAAAAGCAAAAAAAAATTGATGTGTTTGGAGTATTACGTACCAGACAGTTTGCTGACAGGATGACATTCTAGTTGACAAGAAATGGAATAATAAGAGCCCGTCCACCAAAAAAAATATCAGAAAATCCAAGCTCAGGGTTAAAGAATGTTCTTTCGAATCGCGCTTTTTAATTTCATAATCATCCGGATGGCCAGTGACAAGGGAACAGTGAAATCACCATCTGTATATTTTATTTTTTGATGCAAAAAACAAAAAAGAAAAATATGATGCCGTGCCCAACCAAAGTTATGTTAAAAAATCTGCAGGACCTGTTTGGCTTTTTTCTTTTTCCTACTTATGGAAGCATTCAGATGATTTGTTGATGGCATATTCCTGCCTAGACAGTTAAAAGACCATTTTAAGGATTGCTAAGGCTCAGTAGAGCTCATACCTGACTATATCATCCGAAATCTAACAAACCCTCCAATATATGTCTGGGATCTTGCCGAGTCAGAGTTAACACCAATACTGCTGCTTCTACAAGTTCTCTTCTTTGGATAATAGAGATTAAATCTAATCTCCATTGGGTTATTCCTAGATGATTCAGGTGGAATAAGGCATGAGATTGGCAGGCAATTCCCACGTCTTGCTTCGTTCCATTTTATCCGAAGTCTGTGCTGGCACCTGATCACATGGCCAACCCTTCCATCATCTGGACTGATTCATCCATTATGCTTGCCTCTTGTGTGAGGTCGAATGCGACACAACGCGAAACATGGCAACAAATCAGTTAGAAGTGTTATGTACTCATCCTCTATCGAGTCTAGTCTATGCAAGCATCCCTAATGCGTAATAAGTTTTGCTCCAAGGTTATCGATAGAAGAATTGAATTATTGCCAATTTGTTTTTCATGCTAGTTAGTATGATTATTCTAGAATGTCACGTTAAAATGTTGTTACTTGAAACGCTTCTTTAACGAATTAACGAAGTCACTCTTAAAAAGCTAACAAAAAAGGAAGTACAACGATCTTTTTCTCAATCTTTTTTTTTTATATAGAAATTGAACTATTGTCATTTTTTTTATTCTAGTTAGTATGATGCCTGTAAAATGTCGTGTTAAAATTCCATAGCTCATTTGTCTAATTAACAAAATTACTTTCTAAGAGGTTACAGAAAGGCCTTGATCTTTTCCATTTTCAAGCGGTTGAAAGTTGAAGTACTCTTAATTTGTTTTTCTTTTTTTTATTCTGGTCAATATGATTCCTCTAGACTACATGAATTTTACTGACAAAATAAAGAAGCCCTGTGGAGATGGGTTTTCGAGTTCTTTTTTATTGATGAAGAGTTGAATTATTGTTGTCTATTCATCCTAGTTGATATAATCCATGTAGTCTAGATATGCAAGATCTCCATGCTACTAAATCTGTAATATGCTTTGTCCCTGACATTTTTCATTATTCATGCCTATCTGGTCAGTTCGATATGGCAAATTCTGTTCTGTGTAATGAGTGGACTTGTTTTCTGTGTAAATCACCACAAGTCTAGGTTGTGAAGCAGTGTTATAACCAGTCTACTATTGAAGTTAAATCACAAAATTTGTCTATTTTTCATTATCTCTCCAAAGACACAGTGATTCTCTGTTTTTCTCCATCACTCTATCATTCCTCAGTTTTCTCCATTACACTCTCTTTGAACCAACAATTTAATTCTCTCCCTTCATTTACAAGTGCCCCAAAGGCATTTACGAAATTTACTGAAGAAAGAAATAATTTAGTCTTAGGTGAAGCTTATACGTAACACGAGTGCACTAAAACCTGCAAACCTGCCGTGCTGAATTGCGTAACAAGTACTCGGAGATAAATTGCTATCGAACTCCTCATTGTAAATCAATGTGCATTGATAGTCCTAATTCTTTCTGCTAGTGAAATGTAGGATATTTGCTTTTGTTGGACTCTAATGGTTGAAACTTGCAGAATCTTCATTTTCAAAGCCAACGAAACATGAGAGTTCATTACTAGTGATATTCAAATAGAAGACCTCGTTATCCTTAAGCAGGAAGTTAAGAATTCTTAGTAATCACATATTCTCAAAACTGTCCAATGAGTTTATTTGCTCTCATCAATACCAAATGCTGCCGTAGTCAGGGACATATAATTAGATATTTTGCTTGTTCAGGAAGTCAACTACAAGACTATTCACTCGCTCCTAAAGTTGTTCATGGACGAATGCACTGGGATTCTAGTTTCACTCCCAAGCTAGCATGAAAGAAATACCTTTTTATTTTGAATTAAAAGAACACCATTTGTTATGGAATGTATTACAGAATGTAAGCCAGGAGACCAATAAGCTGGTGTTCTTAGGAGCACTGGGATTCTCGTTTCTCTGCCAATCTAGCTTGAAAGAAATACTTTTTTAATTTTGGCTTAAAAGAACACCATCTGTTATGAAATGAATTATGGAACCTATGCTGTAAGGTATGCAGAACACCATTTGTTATGAAATGTCTAGTGATCATTTCTTATAAATATTTATTATGGAATGTATGCTGTAAGGTATGCATTCCTGCATGGGGCAAGAGTGCTCCACGTATTTATAGGAGACAAATTTGATTCATTTAAGACGTTTAAGAAAAGGGAAAAATTATCATAATTATCTATATGATAAGAATTGGGTAGTCGGTACAATGTCCTAAATTTGGCCAACTACAAGAAACTAAACGTGCTTTTCAACTAGATTATCCCTTACGGGACTTCCATGTAAATCTAACCAACTCTGATTTTCAAACCTACGGAAAGTTTATTAAATTTCATGTCTAAAAATCAAATGCTAACTTGGTATTGCTTAAGAAGCACAATCATCCATAAGAACAGTTCAAAAAATCAACAAATAAGAGGTTTTACCTATGAAATAAGACATGTTTTTTTAGCTGAATTTCAACTAGATCATCTCATAGAGGCTTGCCGTTAGCTTAGACTGGTCTACCTTGAATCCGGCTAATTCAAGGTGGTCTACATCTTTCGCTTAGTATAATTCCCGCCAATATTACCTGTTTCCACCTTTTTCAGATTACCACGCTTGCCCTTTTCAAAATATATGGAAAGTAAACCAAGGCTTGACTTCCTACAACTGTGTTGAGGACGAGAACTTATTCTAACTTAATGGATTCTATAATAACATCAAAAGCATTTCGGGCTTCATTTTTTTGATTTAGAATATAGTTCCGTTCCTCTTGGCTGTACAAAACATATGAGAGTAAAAAAATATAATAAATTTTATTACTCAACTTTGCTTTGGGGCTATGTCGGACTTTTTTTAGCTCCTTTTTCGGCTTGAGTAAAACATCCGACCATTGGCATAGGGTGCCACCATTACTAATAGGAGACACGATTTGATTCATTTAAGGCATTGAAAAGAAGGGACAAATTATCATAATTATCTATCTATATGATAAGAATTGGGTAGTCGATACCGCTCAAAAGCCAAACAATGGTCCTAAATTTGGCCACCTATTAAACATTAAACGTGCTGAATTATCCCTCACAGGGCTACGGTGTAAATCCAGCCAACTCGATTTTTAAACCTACGGGAAGTTGATTAAATTACATGTCTAAAAACCAAATGCTAAATTGGTATTGCCCAAGAAGCATGATCATCTATAAGAAAAAACAATTCAAAAAATCAACAAATAAGAGGTTTTACCTATGAATTAAGATTATGTTTTTCAGCATGCTTTTCAACTAGATCATCTCACAGAGGGCTGTGGTTAATTTGGGTTGATCTATCTTAAATCCGGCTGATCCAAGGATGGTCCACATCTTTCCTTTAGTATCATCCTTGCCAACATTACCTATTTCTAGCTTTTTCAGGTTGCCACGCTTGGCCTCTTCAAAATATATGGGAAGTAAACCAGTGAAATCTTGACTTCCTCCACTGTGTTGAGAACAAGGACTTGTTCTAACTTAATGGATTCCATGATAACATCAACAGCTTCTCGGGCTTCAATTTTTGTTTATTTAGAATATAATTCCGATTCTTGGCTTTACAAAACATATGAGAGTAAAAAAAAATATTAAATAAATTTTATTACTCAACCTTGCTTTGGGGCCACATTGGAATTTTTTTAAGTTTCTTTTCCAGCTTGAGTAAACCATCGGACCGTTGGCGGAGGGTGGAGGGTGGCACGAGACATGATTTGATTCATTTAAGACATTGAAAAAAAAATAAAGTTGGTTGGATTTAAAAAATATTTCTTTCTTAGTAAATTTGGTAAATGCCTTCAGGGCACTTGGAAAAAGAGGGAGAGAATTCAACTAGTGGTCAATAGAGAGTGTAATGGAAAAATATGAGGAATGATAGGGTGATGGAGAATAGAAGAGAATTGATGTGTCATGGGAAAGATAATGGAAAAAACACAAATTTTGTGATTTAATTTCAATTATAGACCGGTAGATCCTTCTAACTAATCATGGGAGAAATACGCCCGTCTCTCGGGATAATATGGGAGCCCACTGATATCAGACTGTGGTGGATTTCCGGCTCAATGCCGTGAAGATTAGCAATTTCAAATACCCCAATGGAATGTTTGTTGCGGAAGCTGACCATGCTTAAGGGCCCATAAAATCGCAACACATTTGCACGCGAATAATCGAACACGGCATAATAGTGCCCTGCGAACAAGTATTATAGACTTACTAGCATGGAGATCCTGTGTATCTAGGCTACATGGATTATATTAATTAGGATGAATATATGATGGTAATTCAACTCTTCATCGTTAAAAAGAGCTCGAAAACCATCTCCACACGGTCCTTTTTAAGTTTCTTAAAGAGTGATTTTATTAGTATAATTCAATTGGTGGTCAGTAGAGAGTGTAATGGAGAAATATGAGGAATGACATGGTGATGGAGAATAGAACAGAATCGATGTGTCGTTGGAGAGAGATAATGG